GAGTTATCTCACTATACGTGTCAGAATAGTCCAATCTTAAAGAAAAAAAAAGGACATTTGTCAATTTAGTAGGCTTAAGATAGGATTTGATGTTTTCTTTCATAAAAAATTTATAAGTTGAAAATTTGAGTGGATAAGATGCCATAGAAATTCAACAGTTAAAAAAAATTAAAATTGCACCTCCTTCTTGTACTCATTTTTAATAATCAATTGATTTCATATCTCTGTGCCTATACAACTTAGGTGCATGAGAATCAAGAAGGATGAGTGTATACTGCATTCATTTTGTGCGAAACAGTTGGGTCCAATGCATCAAAATTTGTATTGCTGACTGAGTGAATGAACATCACCAATCCAACCCATTTTAAATATTTGTTTCATCAACGGATGTTACAGTTTAAGTCATTTTCTTAGATTTTCTTTAATGATACCTTTTAAAACCGTATAAAGTTCATGCATTATATTCAATTCATTTTGTCCAAACTGTCACACTTGAATTACTTTCACCTCAGCTTTTGTTTTTATGCATTTTGTTTTTTTTAAGAAACATTATATTCATGTTATAAAATAAAAAATAAATGTATAAAATGGATATATTCTTAGTTCTTTAAATTTCACATCCGTGTTTGAGAGATTAAAATGAAGATTTATTTGCATTTTCTTTTCGAAAAAAAAATCAAACTCTTTATATGTTGTAACCTAGGGAAAGTTACTGAATAGAATAATCACACAAAGGTTGGTAATGAACGATAATACTTAGGACAAGAACAATACATATAAGACTCGCCAGCAGCGCATAGAAGTAGTAGTCAACTGCTAGAAATGAGTCAAGTGAATTCTGCAATGAATCTCCAACTGCAGGATATCTACCAATCGCCCCATGCAGTCAGATGTGGCACGAGGCCGAAATTAATGTGTGTATCCAAGTCCATAGTTCCCCGTAGACTTTGTATAAAATGGGGTCGGGTAGCCGTTTCCCAAGACTAGACTCTGCCCTACAACATGCCTCGTCTGGGCATCCTCTCTGCCCGGAGGCAGTTTCTTCAGCACAGCCGGAGACAAATCTCCAACTGCAGACCAACATACAGTGTTTACTACTGTATTTATGAGAATGGGAACATACCCATCATTGTACATAGGTATGCTACAACAATATATATTTAAGCTTAACTTTGACACATGGGTCCATAAAAAAAAAATTGAAATGTACTTAGGTAATTTTCAAAATGTAATCTGTTTCTTTTTATTTTGTTTTAATGTATTGGTACTTTCCAAGCCAGAGACCCCTACCTGGGTGTTTAATAAAATTTACATTTAATCTTCTGTTCAGTGGATAATGAACTCTACACTCTGAGAAGTAGCTTTCTTCTAAGTGGAAGAAACAGATGGAAGATCTCAAATTCTTTGCAGTGTATGCTGATAAAGTTAAAAACTGTAATGAAGAGGATAGATATTACAGTGATATAACTTTTAGTTGAACTTCATCTTCACCTCTAAAGGAACAAAAGAAGGAAGAAAAGGCACTCGGTGAAGCTGAATATTTAAACAACTCTAGCATTTGTGATGAAGAAGTGTCTCTCTGCCAAGGCCAATTGGTTGTGGTACATTATTACTCCAACTTTTACATTAACCAAGTCCTTGATATTACATCTTTGTCCAGTGCTGTAATAAAAAATTTTGTTCCAACCAAAGGCAGAAATGATTGTTTTATGGCCTTTGTAGGATGATATTACACAAGTGACATCAACATTTGTCTTTGGATGGGACTTTGATATAATATCACTTTCATGTGATAAGATATTGAGTATTCAGAAATATAGCAGAGGCTTATAAACAAATTCAGACTGCAAATCACTATTACAAGAAGAAATACTGGAGGAACTTTCCAACTGTCCAGAAAGTCTTTTTCATCAATTCCAATAAATATATTTTTATTCACTTCATTTTTTTTTTCAAAAGATAATTTAGTTTAAAGCTTTCCAATAAACATTTGATTGACTGAGGATTCATTTCATGGAACAAATTTCAAGTTTTGTAGTCATTACTGTCTTCCTTTGTGACAAGTTTAAAATTTCATGATTTGACAAAATTTGATATGTGTTTGAGAAAAGAAATATTTTATTGAATTCCTCATTCCAAAATTAGTAAAGTTTAAAAGTTTCAGGCAGGTATCTCCAATGGATATCTTTTTTTTATGTCAAGTTCATGATGGTATACTTTTGACCTGTTTTTGCCCTACTGTCAAATTGCACTTCTGGCTGTTTTTACATGGTGTAAATATGAGCTTTTTATTCATGTACTACTGAAAACAAAAATTAGCTTCAACTCTGTTGTGCTATGAATAATAGCAAGAAGTTGCAAGGCATTAACTGTTGAAATGACCTTGTATGAATTGTCAAAATTGTCCTTCTCTGTCATGTTTTAACTATTCTGTTTTTGAGAATCTAATTTGTACCAATTTATAGGCTGGTCTGATCTAATAATTATTGATTCCATTTTCTTTTTTTTACTTCAAGACTACCTATATGACTTTTACATTCATAATGATTTTTAACTAGCCTGACGTTTGCATCTTCAGTTATACACAGTTGAAATTGGCTTCTTGTTCAGTAGCACAAGATAGAAAACTGATGAACTTTGAATGGTTATATATATATATATATATATATATATATATGTTTGTCCTCCACATACAGAGATGACCCTGATTTCAAATCACTGGGGAGGCAGGGTGGGTGCGGGTAATGAGTCTGATCTTTTCCCTGAAAAGTCTGTTGCAGTTGTGATATGGAATGCTGGGGGCTGAACCAGGTTGGGAGGCAGGGCCCTCTTGAGCTTTCCTTTTCTGGCATCTGTTTTTTGTCCCTGATTCTTTTTTCTTCAAAATCAGCACACAGAGTAAGCATGGTAGTACTACTATTCCATACACTTTGAGCTTGGTGTTAAGGCTCAGTCCTTGTTGCTCCCAGACTTTCTCCTTCAGTCTTCGGAAGGCTGCGCTGACTCTTACAATTCTGTAGGCCACTTCTTCATCAATATTGGTGGAGCATGACAGAGTGCTACCAAGGTAGATGAACTTGTCTGCAACTGCTAGTCTCTGGCTGTTCAAAGTAATTTGAGATTCAATGTAGGGCACCATAGGTGCAGGACTCTGATCTTCTTAGTAGAGAGTGTGAGGCCAAAGTCATTGCAGGCTTTGGAGAATAGGTCCATGCAGCGCCCTGCATGTCAGACTGGATACTGGCATTGAGCACACAATCATTGGAAAACAGGAAATCATGGGTTGTATCTTCATGCACTTTTGTCTTTGCCTGCAGTCTCCGAGGGTTGAAGAGTTTACCGTCAGTATGGTGGTAGTGATCTACACCAATGTCTCCGTCTCGGAAGGCATGACTAAAACAGTATGCATACCTTCTTTACTCTGTTGGTGACAGTGAATGGCTGGGAATACTCACCTTCATCCCGTCATGGAATTGCCGGACCATAGCAGTGAACTTGGTGGGGCATCTGAACTTGGCCATGATCCCCCCACATTCCCCCACGGCAAACATAGTCATATGCCTTAGTCAAGTCCACAAAGGTGGTGTACAGTTTGGCATTCTTGCTCCTGACACTTCTCTTGCAGCTGTCGAGCTGTGAAGAGCATGTTCACAGTGCTGCATCCCATGCAGAATCCACACTAGCTCTTGGGGAGCAGGTCACATTCTATGTGTGCATTGAAATGATTGAGCAAAACACAGGCCAGAATCTTCTCAGCAATGGAAAGCAAGGAGATGCCGTGGTGGTTGTCACAAGCATTTTTGTTTCTTTTGTGCTTGTAGAGGTGGATAATGGAAGCATCCTTAAGTTCCTGTGGTAGCTTTTCTTGAGTCCGCATGGAGCTGAACAGACCTGTGAGGTTTTCATTCAGTTTTGGGCCACCAGAAGCATAGACCTCAGCTGGGATTGAATTGACACCAGATGCCTTGACAGGCACTTGATGGCTTTGGTAACTTCTCTAGTTGGTAGATCTGCCAGTGTGTTGTTGACTGGGACTTGTGGTAGTTTTGCAATGGATTCTTTGTTAATGAGCAGTTGAGTTCACTGCTGATGATACTCTGCATAGGCCTGGATGGCATCTACTTTCTTCCTTAAGAAGAAAACATGTGACATGATCATGTTTTTTTTTTTTTTTTTTTTAATGTAGATATGCACATATTTTGTCCAATTTCATCAGGTGATGAGGATATGCTTTTAACCTACCTATTTTTAGTACAATGAGGAGGTGCTGCCTGGGGAAACAATCTTCCGTATTTTAGGGGTCATTTCTGTTATTTTTTTGCATGCTTTTTAAAAAATATATTTTTTAATTGCACAAATTTTATTGATCACATTGTCACTTAATTTTTAGCTTTTCCCATATCTCCTGGCATCAAACTTAAACTGACTTTTTCTTTTTCTCTTATTTTTTCATATATCTAAACTATTCTTATTATAAACTCTAATATTGAAAGGGGAAAATTTAACTGAGACATGTTGGAAAATTTTAAAGTTTTCATCTGAAAGCAAGAAAATGTGAACTCATGACAATATATGCACAAAAAGAAGGCATCAGTTTAAACTGACACCAGTTGAATATGGTTTAAAGTTGTCTCAATTTTCATGTTGGCATATTTATTTATTTTATTTTTTAAAAAAAAAATTTCTTAATTCTGAAACTTAGACATCTTGTAAAATTTGGTTTACCTTTTTATTAGCATCACTAAGTATTATGATAAATTAAGAAAGAAGACAATGCCTTCTGTGATTTAATTCCATTAATGAATCTCAACAACTTTAAAAATTCCTTTTTAAAAATATTTTCTATATTTAATGGGATAAACTATTTGTATAAAAAAAAAAATCTGTTCTTGTAAATAGAATTGGTTCCTCGTCTATTGGTTTTTCATTGTTAATTCATTTGTTTTGATTTTATGAATGTGTCTATATTTTATGATGTTCTGTTTTAATTTTTTATACAGCAATTAAAGTTGCTGACCAAGCGTAAACGTGCTGACTCTGATGCATCAACCCCAGCACCAGCTGCCCCAGCCACTGAACAGAATGAATCTTCAGCCACATCAGAAAGTGATGATGAGGTAAGTGTGAAATCCTACACAGATTGGCTTTTTTATTTATTAAAGAATTAGGACCTGGTTTTTGAGGCTTGCAGGATTGAAGGAGAGAGAGAGAGAAAAAAAAATTAATATAAACAACTCATGTGAGGCTTAAGCTCTGCACAATTAGCCAGAGTGGAATATGGCTGTTTAAAACCCTTGTTTTTATCATATAGGAAAATCCAACATGGAAACAAAATATTTGGCAAAAAATCCCGTTCGTCAGTAACATTTTAAACACCTCATAGAATGTAAAATTCTTAAAGCAAACTTGTGCCAAACTGTTTTCCTGAATCCTTGATGACTTGGCTGTCCGAAAATGACAACATCAAGATGAAATAATGGAAACTGACTGTGAAAAACACAATTATGCGCAACAAGTTTTCCATCAATCAGTAAACTTCTCGACCTTTTCAGGCGACGTTATAGGATCCAGATGCACATAGAATTATTCACTGGTAATTAATCTTTGATTTGGCTGTGGAAAATGTCACTCGGCAGTTAGCATTATGAAATTATGTCAAATTTTCTGAGAAAAAACACCTTTTTTTTTTTTTTATGAAAAAATATTTATTTTCACTTCAAAAGATTTTATCAGTGCTTGTATTTTTTTTTTTTTTTTTTTTTAAGTTTCAGAAAGTATCAGTGATATATTTTTAATCTAAATATCAGTAAAATGCCATTAGTGATGATAGTAGATATGTTTTTACATGTTTTAAATGGTAATACTCTGGATAATTAAAATAACTTTAATCTTTATATGACAGGGAGGGATATGGGTGATGAAATTATGCCCTAAAATGGGCAGTTTAAAACTGCAAAATAATGAGAAAAAAAAAATTGCTTTGTTTAGTAACTTTTTTTTTTTTTTTTAATTTTATGAGTGGGAAAAATATTAACAATAAAAATTGTTATAAGCTTTAAATTTTTTTTTTAAATGTTTAGACATTCTTGTTTTATTCTTTCTGCTTTTGGCTGACACCTAAAATGCTCTCCCGACTTGCCCTGACTCACTGAGCCCAATGTCAGTAGTATTTTTATTACAGTTTAAGAAGTTTCAAAATGTATCAAGTCTTGACCCTAAGAAAGCCACTGGCCAGATAAAATCCCAGTGGTTGTTCTTAAGAATATCAACCTGGAGTTATCTCCGATCTTAGTGAAATTATTTAACTTCTGCTTGAAGGAAAAATCCTTCCCAAGTCTGTGGAGGGTGTCAAGTGTATGCCTGGTTTTTAAGACTGTAGTTGAATGGCCATCCCCTCTCAGTCTCTTAAGTGACATTAGCAAGCTTTTGAGGTTATAAGCAACAAGATTGTTGATCATCTAAATAGGAACAACCTCTTGAGCGACAAGCAGTATGGGTTTTGATTGGCCGAATCCACTGCTGATGTCCTAACTACCATTACTCACAGAATCAGTGAGGCGTTAAACAACAACATACATTTCAAGGATTATTACATTAAATATTTCAAAGGCTTTTGACAATGTGTGGCATGAAGAGTCTTTTCAATTATAATGTTCTTCCAAATGGGTAGGTCCTTGAAGGTAGTTACTAACAGCCAGTTTATCAAAGCCCTAGCAATCAATGCAGGTACCCCCAGGGGTTGCTTCTTGGACCAACCCTCCTTTTACTTTACATAAATGATCTGCTTAAGAGTATATTCTGATTGCATATGGATTAACCTCCAAAGACTAGATGATCAGAGATTGGCAGCTGATCACTCCTCTGATCTAACTCTGGGGAAAAAAAACTGGCTGGTTACATTCAATTTCTCGAAAAACAAACTAGTTACATTCTATCATTGCCAATTGGACCCTGAACTATCACCAATCATGATGATTGGATGTTCCCTCGAGACAAACTCAACCCAAACCAAATTTTAAATAGATTTGGAACCTTCATAGTTTGGTGGTGATAAATATTAGTAATTTAATGTTTGGATTGCTTTATTATGAAATGGAATGTTTTCTTCAACTGCCACTTGTTACAAACAGTCCTTGAGAATACGTACCCAAAGTTCTATTCTTTGTTGGTATCAAGTCACAATATTTGGTCCCTTTATAGAGAGAGAGAGAGAGAGAGAATTCACTTAATGCTTCAAAGATCATCAGCAATAAACTGGATGAAGATGATAAATTGCAGTGAAACTTGGTCACTCTAAGAAATGTGTGTTTAATGCATTTGTTGAAATAAATTAAGTAAAACAAATTGATTTCATTTGTTTTCAGTTTATGGCTGATGTTTTCTGAAACTGGAATGACGAACAAAAGGCAGCTGATGAATTGCAAGCGTTTATCACAATACAATGTCATTCCACCTCTACTTTAACTGTAGTTTCACTTTTCATGGTTTTTCCTACCCAAGGTGAATCCCAGAAATAAACAATTCATAAGTTTTAAATATTAGTGGTCCCAAAGTACAAGTGTTGTGATCTGACAAGTTGAATGTGCCAAAGAGAAGCCATAAAGTGTTTAAGTGAAAGAATGAAACTTTTTGACTTAATAAGAAAAGAAAAAGAAAATCTGGTTGTGGAAGTTGCTAAGATCTACATTGTAAACAAATTTTTATTAGATTATATTGATATAATTGTTTTATTTATTATTCTCTTGAAACTTGCTAAGATTTTGGGCTAAAATTTGAAAAATTTATTTGTGAAGATGTGTAAGTCTTACAGTAATTAGCTGAATTTTGACCTGAAATTTTCACTGTATAATGTTTGAATTGTGGTTCCTATTCACTACTGAATCAACTACATTGACAAGGAAGGAGATTATGCTGGAAAATGTTATGTAAAAAATATGTGCCTTTTTTTTTTTTTTTTTTTATAATCATGTTGTGGCCTGACTGACTTATTTAATCAACCCTGGTTTAGACAATAAACTGCATCTGGCAGCAAGGCCTCTAATTGGGTGATTTGGATGCTTTGTGGAGCTTGGAACCACCTTAATTGTTGTTGTTCCCAGTTCTAACCCAACATCAGGTGGTAGCACCTGGGGGGGGGGGGGCTAGCTATAGGCAAATAGTGAAACCCCCAAACAAAAACAAAACACTATATGAAAGTATAAAAATACAAGCATTACTTTTTTTATATAAAAAAAAAATTACCAACAATACCTATTTATATAAAATTACCAGCAATACATTTCATAGCAAAATGACCAACAATACATTTTATCTGTAGTTGAAGGCATACAATTGCGTTTAAAATATATTTAGCTTTCGGCATTAAATAACCCATAGAGGTCAATATGCTGCTAAACAATCAACAAACCATGTAATCTTAGATATTTTCTCCAATATTTGTTAGTGCATTAAAATTATGAAAGCTAAGCAGGGTAATTATCGGATAGCAGTAAAGTCATTGAGAGAGATCAAAAAAAAAAAAAAAAAACACCAGTGAAACAAAACTTTGTGTGTACCAGGTTCAAATGCAGTTGTTAAAATATAATAATGATTATTGTTTCAACTGTGTGTGTGTGTGAGAAAGAAAGACCAGGAGTAATCATTAATGATGTGTTTCTTTAATGAATCCTATTTGTGATATCTTGGCCTACATAAGCAGTTAATGTCATTCAATGCTAAATGAATGCAGTTTTTAAACATGTTTGTAATTCAATTTAGAAAAAGTTTTAATGATCTCATTGCACGGTTGATTTTTCCCAATTAGAATACCTATTGCGATCTTTTATTTTTCTGAGAATTTGTTATATTTTTTTTTTTTTTTTTTTTTTTTTTATAGTGGACAATGGATGGTAAAGGCAGTAACAAAAAGAAGGTGAAGACACCCAAAAAGAATAACCGAAAATCAGTAGCCATATCATCTGAGAGTGAAGAGGAAAGTGAAAGAAGTGCTTCAGAACCTGAAGAAGGTAAGGGGTTGAGTTTTCATTTCACCTCAATCCAAAAAATAAAGCTTTATACAATTGTCTAATTTATAGTTTTTGCAGTGCGTGTGTGTGCATGTGCACATATGTGCATGTGCACATATGTAGACTGGCAATAATATACACCCTGTCTGAAGTTATTAAGCAAATCATATAAACTTCAATAATTCAAATTTGGTTTGAAAAAAAAAAAATTGTCAAATTTTAAACAATCAATTTAGATGTGAAAACAAAGCCTGAGTTAAAATTTTAGGTAGTATCAATATGTTTTATTGAAGTTATTTGATATATTCTAAAAAAAAAAACTGCTGTCTGAAGTTATTAGGAAAAACCAAATAATCATATTTTACTTCAATAAAAAGGAAATAAAATAAAAAATTGACCAACACTTATAATAGAACAAATAACAAATACATGATAAGTTTCTGAATCCTTTGCATTTTAATATAGTGACCCTTTTTCTCAATAACAACCAGTAATTTATTATCCATTGATTTCATTAATTTTTTTTACGTCAACAGGTTCAGTTTCTGACATGGCATTTTTTAATTACTGTTTTGTTTTGCCACTTTCACATGATTTTATCTTCACAATTAACCATTGATTTTTGATTGGATTCAGAACAGGACTTGATGGTGGCTATTCCATTATCTTCTCTTTGGTAAATCTTTTGATGCTCAAAGAATTCATGGGTAAGCTTAGATACATGAGAAGAGCATTGTTGTGCATAAATACACACTTCACGTAGAAATTGCAAGACTTTTACCATGCAAAGAAGGTCTTGTTCATAAAATTGCAATAGTTAGAATTGCTCAGTTTAACTCCTTTATCGACTTTGAATGGTCCAATAATGTTTTGGTCAACAATTCCAGCCCATATCATAACACTACTGCTGCTTTGTTGCTTTGTTTTAGCCATAGGCACATCTGAATTGGATAAAATTCATCCTTTAGCCTATCCATCAGGTCCATCAAATGTCACTCGAGATCCGTCCATGAAAATTATGTTAGGAAAGTCAATTTTCATGTATTTCTTGGCCCAATTTTGACACTTTAAAATATTTGCTTTAGTGACAGGAGTTTGTCTAGGAGATTTTTTTTTTTTTTTTTTTTTTTTTACAGATCCCAATTCACAAAGTATTCTACACCTTTTGCCCTTCTTGACTCCCTCAATTCCAGCCTTTTCAAAGATCTGAGCGCTGGTCAAAAGTGGTTGTTTCATTATAACTCACTTTAGTTTATGTTCATCTAGAGGAAGCAAGCTCTTAAAGCCTTTTCCTTTGCTTCATGTTCTCAACTTATATTTTCAACAGCCTTCTTTATCATTCAATGATCTCGGCAAAGCTCCTTTGATATCTCCAATGGGAACGTTCCCTCACTCAATAACTTTATTTTCTTTTTTTCATCAGTTGTTAGATCCTTCCCTTTACCCATGTTTCAAAATATATTATGGACAAAAAAAAAAAATGGTTTGTATTAGATTTCAGCGGTCTTAAGCTAATATTAGTTTAATCTACATAATGACTTCAGTCAGTCCATTTTTGTAAATTCCTAATAACTCAAAACCTAATCATTAAAATGGCAGAAAATTTAGTTAAATATTTGACTAAGGGTGGAAATAGACTAGTTTAAATTTGACAAATATTGATTCAGAACTTTTTGAGTTATTGAGATTTATTTGATTTGCATAATAACTTCAGGCAGGCTGTAGCATTCATATCTTTGACATATAACTTGTTGCTGGATAATGAAAGCAATGTAGAGAGAGTGGCTCTTAACCCTCCCCACCTACTCACCTGAAAAATCAACTCCTGCACACACTATTTCTTGAAAGAGACCATCAACATATCTTGGGATGGATAACAATGTTTCACTTCGTACAAAGACTAGGATAGTGTGTCCTCAAATCACCTCCATTAAACATGTTAATTATGATTCTTTTTTTTTTTTTTCTTTCCTATACTGCTTTTCTAAATCATAGCCTTTTTCTGATGGATAATTGTTCCTCCTGTTGTTTTACTTTTAAATGAAATTTCTTACTCTTGGTAACAATATGATAAATATATGAGGTCTGTCTGGAAATTACCATTTAATACTACTAGCAGAAAAATAGCTTACTTGTGGCAGTTCATTCTGAATTCCTTCAATGTGCTACCCTTGGGACCTTGCACACGTCCTAGTTGTCCCTTTGCCTCCCCCCTTATTGTTGCTATGATGTTGTTTTTTTTTTTTTTTTTTTTTTTTTTTGAATGAAAGTATTCAGTAACTGAGTATGAGATGTTTCTTGAAGACTTGATTTGTGCATTATTGAAAATAAAATGAGCTGCATATCAGTAATTCATAATAACTCGTTCTTTTTCCCCTCTCGTTCTTTTTCCCCCCTCCTCTGTCTTTCTTTCCCCCTCTCTGTCTTTCTCCCTCTCTGTCTGTTTCCCTCTTTCGTTTCCCCCTCGCTAGCTCTTTACCCCCCCCCTCTCTCGCTCTTTTACCCCCCCTCTCGCTCTTTTACCCCCCCTCTCGCTCTTTTACCCCCCCCTCTCGCTCTTTACCCCCTCTCTCGCTCTTAACCCCCCCCTCTCGCTCTTTTAACCCCCCTCTCTTTTACTTTTAACCCCTCTCTTTTTAACCCCTTTTACTTTTTAACCCCTCTCTTTTACTTTAACCCCTCTCTTTCACTTTAACCCCCTCCTTTACCCCCCTCACTTTACCCCCCCCTCCCTTTTGCCCCTCTCTACCATCAGTATATGAAAACTAATGGTATTTCATCTGTAGGTGCTGAAAATTTCTCAACCTGATCAACTTTGTAAAATCTGACTGATTGGCCATGCATCTGAATTTCTTTTAGAATCACTTTTTAGCCAGGCTCTCTAGTGCATTCTTATTGAATTCTATTTGTTTAGTATATAATCTGCTACATATACTTTTATTTACTCTTGTACATTAAAGAATTATTGATTGCATACTACCTGATAACTACTATTTATAACTTGAGACTAACTCTGGAATCATTGCCTTCGTTTCACTTTTGAGGTTTATTATTCCTGGTTTGCATTTTAATTCTCTAATCACAGGGCAGAAACCAAACATGTTTGTGAATTTTGGTCTAGAAATACCTGTATATCCATCTTGTTTATTATTTTCCTGCTTAATTTGTCCTAAATGACAATGTCTGTCTATGAATTAATGTTCAATAATCTCTAATTGCAGGTGAGGTATCAGATTCTGATCATAGTTCAAGTGAAATGTCGGGTTCTGAATCTGATGACAAATTCTTTGATGGTTATGATGAAGATCTTATTGGAGATGAAGAGGATCGTAAACGATTAGAACAAATGACAGAAAAAGAAAGAGAACAGGAACTGTACAACAGAAGTGAACGACGAGCAGTTCTCAAAACAAGGTTGGATATAAATGTTGTTTTTTTTTTTTTTTTTGTCTATTTATCAGAAGATGAGCTTAAGTTATCTTTTAATCACTTCAAGTATAATTTATTGTAAACTTTACATGAAAAATGTCAACTTTTGAATTTTTTTATGAATTTGAAATACTGCATTTCTTGGTCTATAGTGCTCAGTATAAATTGGCAATGAATATTTCAGTGGGTGGTAGGGGGGAGATATTTAATTGATGATTTACCCAAGCTTATATATAACTTTTAATTTTTTAAAAGTTTTTTCTTATTTAAACATTTTAATTTGTAATCATATGTTAATCATTTATGATCACATATATTTAATTCTGGGATATTTAAGGAACTAGTGTATTAAACAGAAGTGTTTGGGTGTTGGTCTAATAATTCAATCACTGGAGTATATGTTGGAGGATGATTTTTTTTTTTTTTTTTTCGGTACTTGTATTGTAGGAAATATGGTAAATGTATTTTTTTTATCACAACGGATTATACAGCACTTATCTTGATTAACTGAATTTCTTAGCATGATTACTTTTCTACTTATTTCATAAGCTAAATTGATTAGTGTGTTATTTAAATGGGTTTTTCAAATTTATAAAAGCAGGTTGAAAGCATTAAATGAAATGACAAAAACTTGAAATGATGCAAATTATTATTTATTATGAATTTAAATTAATGTGCCAACATTTTAGGCCTGAATGGGTTTCCATCTGTTTTCCTTTTTCTAATGACACTGATACTTAATTTTTTTTTGTCTTTCTCCAGTTTATTGTCTCTCTCTCTAATCCTTTGGTCTACCACAATATCCTACAACACTTCCATTGATATTTTCTCCTTAAAATGCCAGCGTATTTTGTGGCTCTTTTTGTGCATGTTTTTTTTTTTTTTTTTTTAATTGGTGAATGTTCATCTGAAGATGATGATGATATTGAATAATCTAGTTGTGAAAAAAGTGCTGCCATTTCTATCTACAATGAAACAAAGTAAAATGTTTTTATTAAAGTTATCTTCATTTGATAAAAGGTTACAGAAATGCAAAAACACTTAGTTGGCAATAATGTGACAGATAGCTATAAGAAGCCACTGTTGATTATTTATGGTTAATTTGTTTAAATAATACACTGACAATTGTTTGTGTCACATGTCAATAATTGTAAAATGATGCACTAAAATAAGAGTCCATGTAATTGTTTTAAGTTTTCTGAATATTGGTGCCCTTTTTTTTATTTACCCCATGTGAATTGTACTAACCATTTTGGCATTAATGATCCATAGGGGTTGATAAAAGTCAGTAAAATAACCAATCATTGCTTTTTCTTTAAGGTTTTGAAATCAGGAGTTGCAAATTATCAGGTCATCCCATAATTTCTGTTGGAATTTTGAATAAAGAAAACAAGTGACCAAATGTTACATTTAATTACAGATTCAATCAACAATGTATTTTCCCTGATTATCTATGACTTCCTTCCATCTATTAACAGGCTTACTAATTCCATTACTGTAAAATTATTTTGGCTTTGATTCGAAGAACTCACAAATGTCAGTTTTAATCTCTTCCTGTGTTACAAAAGCTGTTTCTTCCAAATGATTCTGTAAGCTATGAAACAAATGGTAGTCTGAAGGAGCAAGATCAGGAGAATAAGGTGGATGAGGAATTTTCTCCCAACCAAGTTCTTTGATCTTTTGTGATGTGATTCTTGGGGTTGCGCATTGTCCTGATGAAACATCACCTCTTTTCGATTGACTAGAGCAGGTCTTTTTTTCCTCAAAGCTTGGTTCAAACACTCTAATTACTGACAGTATATTTGAGCATTAATTGTTGCATTAGGTAGTAAGAATTCAGCTGCATTAGACATAAAATACTCTTTAAATTTTGTTCATTTTAACAAAAAGTTAAAATTCGGACAGAACTTATGGGATGACCTGATAGTTACAACAAAAAATGTCTGGAAAAAGTTAATATAGTTTTGATTTAAATGAAAAGAACTCTTGTACAAAAAAAAAAAAAAATCAACATCTACCAAGTACTCCAAGAAATAAGACTCAAGATAAGCCTTTCCAAAATAGTAACTATCATTAGGAATTAATATGAAAGCAGTAATTTTACCTACCTTGAAACCATCCTAAAAATTCAAGAATGTGTGATTATTAAGTACTAAACACTTCAAATTCCTTGGTGTATGGATCAGTTATAACAAATTAAGTATAGGACATAAGGAAATTGAACATAGAATAGGCTGCACTAGGCATAGCTTCACCCAGCACTACATATTGCTACAAAGCTAAAACATTAACCTCATAATGCGCTTATCTTTTTTCTATCCTTACTGACTCTATGTTGAGGTCCTTTTTATTTAATGGATACCGTTTTGTGCATTTTCAATCATATTTAAAGGGACATTATTTTCAGGTTGGATTTGATCATACAGGTATACATTTGGCTTTGATTACTTGTTCATTGTCTCAGTAACTGGCCATCAATTAGTCAAGCGTTAGTAAAATTCTTTTTCTGTATTTTGCAATCAACTATTAGATATGATTCTGTTTTCTTTTTTAATAATTGTTTCTCCTATTTTGTAGGTTTGAAATTGAGAAAAAATTGCGGCAAGCCAAAAAGAAAGATCAGAAAGAGAAGAAAAAGGCTTCTTCTGACCCAGTTGCCACCAGACAAGTCGCCACCCCAAGCCAGCGAAGTAAAGAGCGACGGAAAAACATTGAAGACAAGAAGGATAGCAAGATGTCAGCCTTTAAGAACTTAAAGGCTAGAAGAGAAGAAAAAAAGACAAAAGGTTTGACTGTCTTTTTATTTTCTGTCAGAGAATCAGGATTAGCTTAATGATGAAAAATGATGTCAGTATTAATCAGATTGAACATTATACAGTGAAAATTTCAGATATAAATTCACTTAATTATAATAACCAAGGAGACTTTGTTATCCACGTGTGTGTGTGTGTGTGTGTGTGATATATGGGATACAACACATAACTTTATGGAATTTCACTGTGCATGGTCGGAATGTTGTATAGCCCCTTGCTGCAACCCAAGTTTCTTTCAAAGTATACAATGGAAATTATATTTATGGAAGCAATTTTTTATTTTTTTTGTTATATAGTCAAATGTCATTATATATATATATATATATATATATATATATATGAATGTGTAGTTAGAACATTTGCTTTCCAACCATGAGACCTGGGTTCGAATCACTGTGATGGATTTGTCAGGAAGATGGCTTCTGGATGTTATTGGACTGAGCAGGTGGTCCCAGCAGGTGACACCTTTGGAAAGTGCCTGGAAACCATACCGTGGGTTAACCCCAATCCTCGTGAGTGAAATTGGGTAGACAGAACTGTTCAGTAGCTGTTGATGATTGTGCTAACACAGTCACAAGTCATCATGACTGAGGATTTGAGAATGCTGGTGTCGTTGAAACTGCTGATCATGACAGATTATGTGCTCTCTCTCTCAGAAATTGTAATTAAGGTTCACTCAGTATAATGGCAGTATAAACTGCAAGTGGGTTCTGTGGTTGTTAAACAAACACAAATGTGCCTGAGCACATGACAGGGATTTACTAGCTGGCTAAAATATATATCCAAACCAGTTTGATTAAATAGAACTGATGAAGTCTGTTTAATTTTCTATTGTATTTTTTCAGTTTTTGAATAAGGTATTTGAATATTGTGCTTGAAGTTGTAGATAAACTGTTCAAAGTTCATGTTTTGTTGTTCATTTTGAGGACAATACTCAACACCTTATTTCAAAATTGGGAATATATATATATATATATATATATATATATATATATATATATTTATACAATAAAAATAAAAAATTTTGAACAATAAAAAATAAAAAATTTAAATCTTTAGACACACTGGGTTGTAGATTAATATTCTTTCGTTTTTTTTTATTATTATTCCATTTAGATTCCTCGACTAGTTTCGACCAAAATGGCCATCATTGGGAGGAGAAATATTTCTGCTTGCTGTTAGCACTAAACTACAGAAATGAATATCTTGCTGGAGAAAATAAACTTTTGTCTGTAGTTTTCATTTGTTTTTTTATTTTTTTAACATGAATCTTTTAACATTCCTTGTGTTGGTCAAACAGTCTCTTTTAAGTTGTTATTTGAGATAAGAGCTGGACAGATACATGTTGCTCTGAATTCCCATGGTCAGTTTGACAGTTTTATTGGACCTGGTGAGGGGATGTGTCTCTGTTTAGTGTTTGTGTGTGTGTTATTTGGTTCTTAGGGAGTGAGTGAGTATGATATGTGTAAGTGTGTGTATTGCTGTGGGTGTGTGTTATCATTTGGCTCATTAGGGAGTGAGTGAGTATGATGTGTAAGTGTGTATATATTCGTGTGGGTGTGTGTATAAGTGTGAGGCCTCAACACCTCTGTAACCATGTCTGTCTTGTGTGGGTGAGAAATGTGGGTAGGTTTTGATTTGTTGACTTATATATTAATACTATCTATATTGTTAAATTTGTGGTTTAGCCCGCTGAAAGCGTGTTTTTTAAACGTTGTATCCACTTATTTTCATGGGAATCTAAAATCTTTCTAATGTTATCTGCTCTGTACTTTTCTATTCTCTCAATTATAGTGAATTTGGCATGGGTTTTGAAATCATGTTTTCCAGGCGGAAATGTTGTTCTACAGGTAATAATTTTTCATGGGGAGTCGACTTAATTAAACATTTATAATTATTAATTCTCTAGTGAAAGGGCCATTCAGATTTTCCTACATATTGTTTCTGGCATAGTGTGCATTCTAGGAGGTAAATTATGTTATGACTTCTACAGTTAGAATCGTGGTAGATTTTGAAAGTAGATTTAGTGATTGAGCTAGTGAATGAATTCGTGTTTTTAATATGGTTGCAACATAAACTTTTGTTGTTACATGGTTGGGAAAATCCTGTTGTTTTTGTTCTTAGTTTATTATGGATTACCTTGTCCCCTGAAATGTGGTTACTACCTATGATTTCTTTTAGGTTCTTAGGTCTACGATATGCCAGAAGGCCGGGTTCCTTAAACAGTTTTTTTAGGTCTGGTTTGAAATGTAGTATTTCCCAGCAACGTTTGATTATTTGGGATAGTGGAGGCAGAGTGGGATTGAAAATGGTTACTAGAGTGATGCGGCTAGATTTATTTTTAATCTTGTACATTAGGGTGTCTTCTCTAGGTGTGGAAATTGCTTTATTTATTTGTTCCCTGATTTTATATATATATATATATATATATATATATATATATATATATATATATATATAAATGTTTTTTTTAATGTTTGCTTTGGACAATGAATCCTTCATTTGTAGAGTGAGCCCTCTTGATCAACATATATACTAACTTTTTTGTTGGAGATGCAATCTCCCAAGGGACATTTAAATTGATATATAATGTTGGTTTTCTGCAATACATTAATCCATAATAACTCCTCCCTACCAATTAACATATTGCAGAAAAACAACATTATATCAATTAAATGTTCCTTGGAAGATTGCATATGTGACAAAAGAAAAAAGTTAGTGTTAGTGTATCTGTTGGCTATTCTTGTATGTGTATATATATATATATATATATATATATATATATATATATATATATATATCTATTGTGTCTGTTTGTGCATTCATTTGAAAGACACTAACTCCTGCGAAAGTTGACAATGGATGTAATTTTTTTTTCCTGCTACTTGGTGAGACAGATTGGAATGAAAGGAAGAGTGGTTTACTCAAATTCGAACTTGGTTTGCATATTTTTGTTACCTGTGATTATATATTTATACTAGCTTAAGAGCTACCCTATTGGGAAGGCACTTGATTGAACCTTCATCACAATAGGTAGGGAGAAGTAGAAGCAATAGGCAAAATAATTAAAAGCATTTAATTTCATTTTTAGAATGTGTAGATTCCCAAATCTGTGAGAATCACCTGTCCCTTTTTTTTTTTTTTTTTTTTTGTTGTTGATAAACATTTTAAAACTGAATTTAAAAATTATTTTGATATAATCTTACTTAAGTGTATTCGCTAGATAAATCTATAAAGATATTTGTAAAAATAAAATGAATTAATTTTCCTTGTCTAGAAGAATTTTATAGGCAGAACACCCACCGAACTATAGTGGCTAAAAAAAAAACAATTTTTACTTTGGGTTTAAGAAAAATGATTTGCAATTTTGAAAATGTACACATTTTAAACCTGAGATTAAAAAAAAAAAAAAAAAAAAAAAAAAAAAAAAAAGGTGTATTTGCTAGATAGAAACAATTTTATTTTTAATTTTACACTAGAGACTTGCATATCTGGAAATATACAAATTTTAAAAGTGAAATTAAGAACGATTTTAATTTTTAATTCTTAATATCTAATTTAGGTGCATTCCTTAGATAAAAAAAATAAATTTATTTATAAAAAAAGAAAAAAACTTCATTCATTTTTCTTGTTTACAACAACTTTTTTGTGATTGGTGTACTGGCTTACTGGGGAACCCTTAAAAAAAAAATCTGACTTCATAAAATTTAACATTAAGACGAAACTGGCAACTATTTTTTTTTTTTTTTTTTCTCTCTCTATTATGTTGTCAACTTACCACAAAAAGTTATTTTGAAAACTGGAACAAATAGATTTCAGACATCATGTTGTATTTCCTTTTTTCTTCATTTCTTTTGTAAACAAATAGATTTCACATTTATTTCCTAAAACTAGTCAATTAAATGCTTTTAACATATTCTTGTTCAATCTTTTTCTCTTACAATAACGGTAAAAATGTGGATAAAATATAATTTTATTAACATCTGAAAATCTTTTTCAATAGTGTTTCTTTAGATATGGTCACTCAGTAGTCAGATAAAAATGAAACCAAAATTGTTTGGTTTCATAAAAAATTTTGATGCGGTTTCACGGTGTGAAGCTGAAACCAAAAAAGTCGTTTTTTCGGTTAAACTGCACATCTCTTATATATATATATATATATATATATATATATATAATCAGACACACTAGAAAGATTCCTTGTTATGTGTAGGTAATAATCATTGTAACATACAATATACCAAAATACTTTTAATTTACTCTATTTCTCAAATCCTATAGCATCAGTACTCGTTTCATGTTATTTTCAGTACATTAATGCAGAATCATTTTTTTTTTTTATGCTTAAAAACTGTCAGCAATCAGATCCTATTAAAGAGTTACTCTTCTGGAAAAGAAAGTAGGTGACAGATCCATTCCAATCCTCAGTTTAGATCTATAGAAGGCAACTATAATTCTAATTTCAAAATATTAAAATACCCAAATAAACTATAAAAAAATTACTGTTTCTTTGAAAAATATATTTCAAATCCCCATAAAAGAAATTTTGATTCAAAAATAATTTTGTGTTTCACGAGATTAAGCAAAATTACAAAGTTAATATCTGTTAAAAAAATTTCCAAACTTTTTTGCTGACTTGACATTTGGGATTACCTATTGAGTCTTTCATATGCAAACCCAACATGTTTTAAAAAGGCCTCAAATAATTTGTATTTACTTTCTGTGAGAAGTTTTTTTACTGCTTTATTAAAGCATATGTTTGGAAATTTTACAAGAAGAGTATATGCTAGTCTTGTAATTTTTCTCCAGCTGGCCTAGTTGCATGCGTTGTTTACAAATCTAATGCCATTTGGCCATAGAAAAGAAGAATTTACAAATAAAATCAGTCTTGAATGGGTTAATGCAGTATGTATATTTTTTTCCTGGCTTTCTCTCTTGGATTTTATTGTTTTTAAGATTAAGATTTTTTTTCTTTTTTCAGAAATTGCTATCAAAGAGCAACAGAAGAAGAAAATGCCAGTAAACAGTATTTACTCGGATGACGACGATGATGACGATGATGAAGAAGGACGTGAGAGTACTGAACGAAAAACTGAGAAAGAGGATAAAAGTGAAAGGAAAGTCTCTTCCTCATCCTCTTCCTCATCATCAAGTGATGACCGATCATCAGCCTCATCAGATTCAGAAGAAGAGTAAGTGTTTTAGTTTGTTACCCTCTCTCTCTCCCCCCCTCTGTCTCCCTTCCTCTCCCCCTCAAAAAATAGTAACAGAAGGTATGAAGCATAAGTATCAATCTTCCTTTAACATAATAGCAATGCAAAGTAATTTTTCCTTTTTTTGTTCACCCAATACAAGGCCCAAGAGCCACTCAAAGTAGGGGCTTACTGGTTGAAGTTGTTGTAAAGGAAAGAACAGGATGTATATATGAGAATGCAGTATATACTCAAGCATAGTGTGAGTTTTTATAAGACCAAAAACAGGGGTCACACCATACACAAGTAATTTTTTCTGGAGGTGTTTAAAATTCATGCATTTTCATGTTTAATGCAACATGTGTATGGAATATTTTTTTATTTAGAACGAATTGAATTATAACCTGAAGCATGTACAGGGTGCGATGGATAAATTGTCGTCTAAATTACTCAGAAACAAAAATAACACTGACATCTCATTTTAACAGATATATTTACCATCATTACACCAAAATATCTTTAAATACTAAAGAGTAAATTTATTCAATAAAATCGCCATTGTCTTTAACCATGGCCTCCAGATAACTTCAGAATCTCCTGCAACTTTTCTGGATGGTCTTTTTGTTTACATTGGTGAATGTTGCCATAATCCTTGCCTTCAGTTCATCTTTAGTGTTACAAGGAGTTTTGTTGCTCTCTCACTCAACTGTGCTCCACACATAATAATCAAGAGGGGCTGCAGTGTGGGGAGTTAGGTGGCCAGATGTAAGGGGGTGATATGATTGCAGCCATGACTGGGTTCCCCTGCTTGTGTGGCATAGATTTGTTGCCAGACATAATGTCTTCTAGCAGCCACCTTTTTGACTCTGGGCAACACCAACTCCTTAAGGCACTTGATGTAGGTCTCTGTGTTGAGTCTGAGGCCCTGTGGGAAGATGAATGGAGGCATAACATTATCATCACTAGTGATCACTCCAAACACCTTTGTAATCACCATTCAGAGGAAATTCCAGACTGGTAAATATTCTAGACACCGAGAAGAAATAAATAGCCTTTTTTCTTTCAAGTACTTAATCCCAAACTGTTTGATTTGATTGTTTCATGCATTTATCTTTATTATTTATAATCTTAGATCTTATTTTTGTATGGCTATGTTAAATAACTATCAACTTTCACTATTGGGCTTAGGTAAGTAATGCCAGAATGGTGCATAGGGTAGTAATCAAACTGGGCCGTCAGGGAAGAAAGTTAAATCTTCATTTATATAAGGTATTTTTGAATTTAAGTGGCATACATAGTGGATGAGATTTTGCTTTTCATGTCATGACAAAAGGAAACTTAGGCTACATAGGAGGCAAGCCCAGGCTATAGGAACCACTGTCGCCAGGCATGAATGAAAATGTCTGTGGGTTAAGTGTTACTGGGTGGAAAGTCTAATACAGAAAAAGGACACGTTTTATAAATAAGAACTTGTACAACACTTCATCTTTTGTTGTTTTTGCAATATTTTGGCTGTTGTGACCTATGACCTTTGTCAGGTGCCTGTCCATCTGAATAACCTTCAGGGAATTTGAAACTGAACCCTTTAGTTAGTCTATGGAACTAGATCTTTTTCATTCTGCTATTCATGTCTAAAGATGTCTTGTTTTGATTTTGTACTATTAGTGCTCATCTTGTTTCCACTGAATGTAACTTTGTACTACCTGACCCAGGGATTAAACTCTCAATTACTATGTTACTAAATTCATGAACCAACACTTTAATCCACTAGTGGCAATCTTGAGCTTATGACTTGCAGTTTCAAACCTAATGTTCTTCTTTTTTGCCTGTTGGTGATGCTGCAGTTGCTGTCATGCTTGATTGATTATTTATAGAATTTTGACTATTTGGCTGATCACCTTGAAAAGGAGGTGGAGGGGAATGGCATTCTGACAAATGGTAAAAGGGGTGCATGAGGCAAGCAAGGTTGAGAACCCCTGGTCTAGCGGATTAAAGTGTTGCTTTATGAATTGACTTAGTAATTGAGTTCAATCTCTGGGCCAAGCAGTGCAGATTTAGACTCAGTGGGAACAGGATGAGCAGTAACTGAGCAGTACTAAAAAAATAAGAACTAGATGAGATATCCCTAAACATAGGCAGTGGAACAAGAGCAGTCTACCCTTGTAGATTAAAAGGTTCAGTTTGAAATGCATATTACTCCAATTATATATCTGGACTCTGTTCCTCCAAATGTATCGTGAGGTGGGGGGGGAGGTTGTGGGGAGGATGCTGAAGTATCCAGTAGATTGCGAAATATTTGTTACACAACATCAAGTGTGCATTGACTTGATTATTTTTACGAAAGCTAGTGGTGTGGTTTCACATTGCTTTCTAGGTTGGTTATCAAATAAGACTCAAGAACCTAGTCTGCTCATCTATTTAATTGTGTACTACTATTTTGAAGAGATGGATTTCTGCTTTTCCTCAAGGGCTTTAGTGCAAAGCGAACCCAGACTGTCTCAACTGGAATTTGAACTTGGCACTCGACATCCTGATTCTGTGTGCTGCTGTTAGTCCACCTGCAATTGTTGATTCATTTTCTATGGTTTATCTACCATTTGCAGGTTATTTAAAGTAGGTATCCTAAACTATTTTTTTATTTTCAATATACCTAAAAACTTTTCATGGCATATCAAGCTTGACAAAACAAAAAAAATGGTACCAAATTTATCTTGCTAGGTCAATTACCAACTGAGTTATGACCTTTCAAAGTTTGGGTGCAATTGGGCCTGAAGTCCATTTTAACAGTGTATATGTGAAGATGCAGGCTTCAAACGAGTGAAAACTCATGAATGCAATGTCATTAAGTCATAAAAGAAAGAATACTAATGGAATTAATAATTATTAGATAAGACCAACCTAAACTGGGGGTGGCGAGGGTCATCCCATTCCATCCTAAAAACAGGGCAAAAATAACTCAGGAAGGCAAATTTGACCATTGATATAAATTTTAATTCTACTTTTAAGTCATTGAAACTTCTTAATATGTTTCATAGTATCTTGGAGATTTAAGCTAATTTTTTTTTCACAGGAGTACATCAGTGAAAAAAATAAAAGCTCTTATTTCAGCATGTAATTACAGGTGGAATTAAAATTTGATAGTTGGGCAAAAAAAAAAAAAAAAAAGGGTAAAAAAAAAAATATAACTTTGGAGAGGAAAAAAAAAAATCCAGTTGGGGCGAATGTAAAAACCTGAAACTTTGAAACTTTACTCATTTTTGGACAAAAACTTCAACAAAACAGTTATTTTAAAAACTCTTTTCTCATAAATGTATTTTTTTTTTTTTAAATTTTCATTTTTTATTTATTTATTTATTATTTTTTTTTTATTTATTTATTTATTTTTTTTGAAAATTTATACAAATTGAATCAGGGATTAATTTTTCAAACAAATGCTTATTTTAAAGCCTTAAAACTCAATTTTTAAATATAAAAAACAACAAAAAATTGAAATAAGTAAAACTACATTTATTGGAACTGATAATAGACTTTTTGGGGGTAGTATGAATGGCTCTACTGCACTTCCTCTCCTAATGGTGATTTGCAATCTGAATTACTTTATCAGGCTTCTATAACCAATATTTCTGGAACATTCCAGATTCTGTCATCAGTTGAAACTGGCATTAAACCTAATTCCCATCTTAAGACAAAAGTTGATCAGAAATAATCATGTTTACCCTTTGTTGTAGCTAGAAACTTTATTATTGTACTGGTTGGAGATGTAATATCAATGACTTTGCCAATGTCAAAACTGGAATCATAGTATACAGCAATCCATTGGCTTTGTCTCTCATATCTAAAGATCACTTGAGATGGTTTTTCATCACAGCTACCAGAGTTAGTCACTGGGTCTTCAAGTTCCTGTGATATAATTTCATTGGCAGTGAGTTTATCAGCTACAAAAAAAGCATCATTGGAATAATCTAAAAAGACTCTTGAAGTCATCTTCTTTAGTGGCTAAAATTTTCTTGGCCGTGTTAAATGTTTGTTAAACTAATGGACTTGCTTCATCAATCTAAACTGTTCCATCTTTGTATTAAGATAGTTTGCAGAACCATGCAAAAACCTGCAAGTAAAAACATACAATTCTTGTATCACAAAAGAAGTAGGAAAAAAAGAAAAGAGTGCTCCTTGAAGATTTCATGAAAAAAAAAAAAAACTTTTTTGTTAAACTGTTCTCCAAACCTGTGAGCTCTTTCCCTATTTAAGTGCTTTCCTCATTTATCTCCTGGTTCTTAAAACCATAAAAGTTACATAAGTTGGGCTAACTAAAATAGATGAGAGACCTCACCAGAACTGCACTCAGTTTACTGGGTGTTAAGTGTCAACCCATTAAGCCCACCTCCCCCTTCGATTTCCATATTCTTTTCATTACACTGTATTTTTAAATGCATCGGCAACCTTTTTGCACATTGTAAGGAATTTAGTTGGTGTCTTTGGCTTGCTTCTTCCATTTACAAGAAAACATTCTCTCAGGATGTTTAATTGATCATCCACTGAACAGAAGATTTTTAAATATTCATCATAAGCACATGTAAATTTAAAAACCTAAAGTAATCTCCAGGCATGGAAAGCACTATAACAAAACACTTATGATATCAGGAAAAGCAGAAATAAGAAAAATTCTTTACAAAAAATAAAAATAAATGTCTTAAATTTTATAAGTTTAGGCTTTCACTTTATAAAGAAAAATATAACAACTGAAAATTTACATGAAAAAAACGAACAATTTTAAAGTTACATTTTTTTTTTTTTTTTTTTTTGAATGGCAACGTTTGCTCTTGAATTGTTATTGTTGAACTTAGGCATAGAAATTCACTTAAAAATATGCTTAAAAGTAAGTTACCATGAAATAAAAATCTACTTTCAAAGTTAAAAAAGTAATATTCACTAATTACCAAAAATTAATTATTTTGTAAGAAATAAATTTGGCAGAAAAGTATAAAAAAATAATTTTAAAGAAATATCCATTTAAAATAAAAAAAAAAAAAAAAAAAAAATTAATTTTAGAAATTTTTGTGAACCCACAATTAGTTCAACTGAAAAATATATCCTTTTATTTTACTTTAAAATCTATTGAGTCTAATTCCAAATAATTTACATTAATTTAATCTGGAATTAGCAGCTAATCCCAAAATTTAGTTAATAATTTGTAGATAAAAGACATTTTTAAAATTACAATATTTTATGTACACAAATGTGAGATTTATTAAAATAAATTCTAAATATATGCATTTTAAAATTACATTATTTTATTTCATTTTTAATGTACAGAAATTTTCCTTTTTTTTTTTTTTTTTTTTTTTTTTTTTTTCATTGACAAATATGTACATTTTAAAAATTACATTACAATATTTTAAAGTTTTTTTTTTTTTTTTCCAATGTAAAAATACAAATGCATAAAATTTAATTAAAATATGTATTTCTGGTTTATATTTTTTAATGCCTTTTTAGTTACACAATAAGTAATTTACTTTATACAACTTTAGAAGAAAAACACGAGAAAAAGAGTTAAATCTCATCTAGAAACTGAAATGTCTATTGATGAAACACGTTGGATTTAAAAGCTCTGGGCATGCTGGTCAACATGGCTGACATATTCAAGTTTCAAAAACACCTCATTTTATATTTGTTTGCGCTGTGAGTTGGTTGGATGTAGTGATATGAAACTGTTATATACTGTACCTATGAACACTAATGGGTATGTCCCACTCCTCGTAAGTATGTTGGACACTATTGTAAGTGGCGAAAATATGCTAAGTAGTCCACCACTGGCAGTGGTTTACCTACTTCATGCTGCTGGCGAGTATTTGTTGATGTTATAAAGATTACCATTTCCAACCTCTGGTTTGGTTATTCCTCATTCAGTAACCTTTTCTAGGTTACAACAGAAACCAATTTATTAAAGATGAAACATTGCTCTATAAGAAGGTGTAACTTTTTTTTTTTTTGTTTAAGAAGTGAATTTCTCTGGTATTCATTCATTGAAGTTTTCAACTTGAAAACTTTTGTTAAAAAAACCTCAAATTTTATTTTAAGCCCACCAAAAGGACAAGTGTCTTCTTTTCTTTAACATGGGACTATTTTGATATAACCCTGAGCGCAAAAAATTTCGAAACATAAGCAGAAAAAAAGAAGCATCTGCCACTGAAATGTAACCTCATTTAAAGAGACCTGGAATAAAAACTTATTATACACAAGAGAAAACATTAAATTTTCTTTACATACTAATTTTTATCCAAATAACTTTTAAAAATACTCAAATTGCCAGTTGAATTTGAAGGAAATTTCACTATTTTGACCCAATGTTTGCAGTATAAACTAGCAGCTTTTGGGATAACTATTTAAAACCAGAAATTTTTTTTTTTTTTAGATTGTAAGATTTTTATGGTTTAGTGATACAAGTCTTACTAATTAATCCATGGCTGGGGGGAGTATTTGCGTGTAAGGGAATATATATCAAACCTGATTGCAATTAACAATTCTGAGCCATTATCATTGCACAAACTACATATCCAAGCTCACTGCACCTAGTATTCCCAAAAAGTCACCCATCAAAGCATCGACCTGGCTCGTTGATTAAATTTGGTGATTCATATGGGAATTGGTGTTTTGTCATGATGTGATTGCAAGCCTGCTTGCAATTGTACAGCCTTGTACAACTTTAAAAAAAAAAAAAAGATTAAATTTTTAAGAATCTCATGAAGGAATATTCCTTGTGTAAAATATTTCTCTTCTGTTTTAGTTTATTTTACTTTTTTCTTCTTTAACTGATCTTTTAAGTAAAGGTAAATCTTTTCTGTAGTCAATTGTAGCAAGTATTTTCCAATGTTTTTGTAAACTTGCTCATAGTTTGTATTTAAAGGGTGGAGCAGGGGCTTAATGTGAGAGATCAGGATTTATCTTAATATAAAATAAATCATGGGTGGGGGAGTCTTGGAAGATCATTTATAGGGACAAAACTGCAAAATTAATAAATGGGATGGTCTTATTAACCTTGGGGTTGGAAAATTTTCTCAAAAAAAATTCCCCTTCTATGAGGCACTTAAAAGTAGTTATTAGCTAAAGCTTGATATGAAATGTTCACTGTATAATGTTGTTATACCATATCTATGGACTACAATGGGTATGTCCCAATCCATATAAATACAGTAGAATAAACTGTATGTGGTAGTCGTTTGGATTCACTGTGGGTTTCACTTGCAATTCACCTTGATTCATTTCTAGCCCTCCACTAGCAGTTGATTACTTAGAACATGCTGCTGGCGAATCTTGTATGTTGTTTCTGTCATAAATGTTATCGTTCCATTTCCAACCTTCATTTTGGTTATTCTTATTCACTAAGCTTCTAGGTTACAACAAATGTTCAATCTATTTGATTAATATTCACTGCTGAATTATGTGCTTTAACAAAGAAGATTATGTTGAAAAAGCCTATTCCATATGACAATATGAAAACTCTGACAGACTTTATCAAGGCAAATATTAAAGTCCTCAGAGGACGAAATGCATTGGCAAAGATAACTTTTCATATTGTCTTTTTACAGATATATTTATATTTGAATTTTTACATGTGTGTATATGCATAAAGATTCAAATATAATTAAAAATATCTGTAACAAGACAATATGAATAAACACACACACACATTTATATATAAACTTTTCACAATGTTAGGAAAATCTTAGAAATGTTTTCAAAGTTTATGCAATCAGCCAATTGGAAAAATGGATCAACATGAACTAAGACAAATAAACACAGATCAGTATTTAGACCCAAGACAGCCTTTAATATCTCAACCTAAATAGAATCTACTGATAAAATCCTTCTTGGTGTTTAGTGGGATTCATAAACATTTTCCAATGCTACATCTAAGAAATTTGATAAAGTGTGATGTAATGATACTTTTTTTGTTCTTCACCACCTGGAAATCATCTTTTGTTTTTTTTGTTGTTTTTTTTTTTTCTTTTTTTTTTCAATTGCAGTAGTTCCTCCTCTCGGCAGAAAGTCACAGTTTATGCTACAAAAGAAGATATTTCCCGAATTCGTCTCTCTCGAAACAAAATGGAAAGGTAGGAATTATCTTTCTTCTTTATTTTCACTTATGTTTTCTTTTTTTTCTCCCTACAAAAAACTTAGACATGCTGTTATATTATAATTCAATTAATTACTGTCTACCTTTTGAACTAAATGCACATTGTTACTTATTTCTTTACTTATATTTTATGTCTCACAGCCATCTGATTGATCTTATTGTTGTTGGATGCAGGCTTTGTTGATTGTGAATTTTAATATTGATCGTATCTAAATTTTGTAATACTAATCTCATCTATTTTATCTATGCCTAATTGAATTAAGACAAAGTAAACAGATGTCTGTTTTTCTTTTTGAGATTTAAGGAAACAACTTAATTTTCTTTGTTGGGGAAACATAATTTCATCCCTTCTTCTTTCATGCTCTTTGGACAGTAACCACTCCAGAAGAAGGATAAATCTGAATTCAAACCATGTCCAAAGCTGAGGTAAAGAAGGGTTGGGCACAGAGTTAGAAACTCCACCCCATTTAAAAAACAAAACATGTTACTTACCTATCTATAGCTACATTACCCATGATTTGTGATTGAGACTCAATCCTCTACAAGGAGTCTGTAAGGAATAAAGAAAAAAAAAAAAATTCAGATAACACTTTTTTCATTTCAAGCTTGTGTGCATCACCAATTACATAATTAATTTCTGGAGCTTTGCAAAATATCATCAAGTCTAACAGTATCCTTCTGACTCCTATAAGATGTATTTTCAGTATCCTCTGATGTCTTTAGTGAGAGTCAAATATCCTTGACATAGCATAGGACTCCATGAACCTCAATAGATTGTGTGCTGATGATCCTAGTGACCCTCTTCAATTTGCACTAGTTTTAAGGCATTTTCACACACATATATCAATGTACTACCTCAGGTTCTTATGAAAGCATTGCAACAATGCCTTTCAGTCAAACCTTGTATCTAAGGATCGTATTGGAAGTTGTAGATGTGGGTGCAGCATCATCTTTCAATGTTATGCTGTACCCATAAACTGCCTCATGTATAGAACACGGCTTCCTTGCACCAATTCTTTTGATACCTCTTAATGACACCTTTTCACTATTCTACTAGGTTGAGTCAGAAGTTTTGTTTTTTGTATTTCAAGCTTTAATTAGTTCAAACAAATTACATACAAAAAGTGTTTATTCATCAAAATATTTCTCATTATATTCTATTGTCTGTTGCTACTGTTGTACCAGAAGCTCACTTCCATGCTTATAGCATTTGGCTGGTTTAGAGCAATAAAAAAAAAAAAAAAACTCCTTACGCCCATTTTCAACCTCATTCACATTGTTGAACCTCCATCCACACAGGAAATGACTCATGGCTCAGAAAAGGTGGTAATCTGATGGGAGCAAGGTCTAGACTAGGCAGGTTGAGGCAGCAGTTCCAGCCACCTCAAGTTCCTCAAATTTGTGCTTGGTCACATTGGCAGTGTATACTGGGACATTGTCATGCTGTAGGAGTGTGTGTCTTCAAATAACCAATGCTGGGTAGCAGACTTTCAAGGCATCATGTACTTGCTGCAGTTGTTGAGCATAAAGGCCAGTGTTTACAGCATGACCCTCTGGGACAAGCTTAAAGCACAACACCACCTTGAAATTCAACCAAACATGACCTTTGACAACAGGTTCTGAAGCTTGGCCAGAATGAAGCCACTGATTTCTATTATGATTATGAAGATAGCCATTTTTCATCCCCAGTTACAATTTGACACTAAAAACAGGCATCTTGAGGAATTGCTTGCAGTTGTTTGCAAATGTTCACATGTTGTTGAGTCTGGTCATTGGTCAGTTCATAGGAACTTCTCAACAGCATCTATTCACAAGGCTGAGTTTATAGAGGTGTCAATTGATAGTGCTTTGTGAGTGACTGAGATCTACCAACAATGTACTTGGGTGTTGCTTACCCATTTCAAACAAAACCTCACCCCTCTGACCTTTGGTTTGTCTTCAACGCTGGTGTCACCTTCTTTAAAACATCTGAACCAGTTTTGTGCCACACATTCGTTGACAGTTCTTGCACTTTTCACAATCATTAATTTCTTTTGCCACTGACCTTGCACTGAATCCCTTTTTTTTCAGTTAGCATAAAATAGCTGTAATTGCAATTTTTCCACCATTTACCAAAACTGTAAAATAAAGAATAAATAATGTTTATATGTGATATATGAAAATAAAGAATGAACAATTCAGCAATGATTTGGTAACAAGTTGTATCAAATTAATGATATAACATGGAGATATATAAATTGACAAAAATCATCAGTGTACATCTGAAAAAAAAAACTTTTGACTCAACCTGGTATTTCCTGACAGAGCATATGTACATTGAAAAGAAACCTTGCTGTGGAATTCTATGTTATTATCCAAAAGGAGTTCAACTGGCAGCTTCTTTCAAAAGATATAGATATAAGTTGGTGTATGGCAATCCTACTGTAAATAAAGATAGTCAAAGTAACAAACATGTTGGACTGTAATTAGCAAGTAATGCTTGTCACTATAATAACTGATATCTTTTTCTAGCCTGTATCTGGTGTTAGTTTTTTTGAATTTTCCTTTCTTCCAATGTAGAACAGTGTTAGATCTCTTAATTGACAAACTCTGTATTACTTGACCCCTGACTGAATGGCTACTCTTGATCTGGAAGGACCAAACACATTTGGCAAAATACAGTGTTATTTTCACTCGAGGATGCCCACTATGCTGATGAATTTCCAACTTGACTGGATCAGCTCTCTGACAATAGCAATACACATGGACATTAGAGGCTTAGTTTCTTTATTCACTATTATCTGATTTAGGGTCATATCATGTTGAAACACCAGTTACTATCCAACCACTGAAGTTAAGCAACATTGAACCTGGTCAAGAATACCAGGTGCTGTAAGCTTGGATATACAGGTGGTGTAATGGATAATCGCTTGGAATTGTTAACCAGAAAGTGTTTTAATTCCAGTTGGGTTTGTTATATTCATTTACACACAAATACCCTTGGGAAAGGTATGACTCGGCCTTTTCTCCTCCCATCTATGGATTAATTAGTAAAACTTGTATCAGTAAATTATCTCCCCCCCCAAATTCTTACAATCTATAGAATATTTTTCTGGCTTTCAATAACCTGCAAATGGTTTGTAAGCTGCAAAAAAAAAAAGTGGAGGGGATTGAATGAATCACTATTATCTCTATGGCAACCAATTTATCTGCTAAATTCGGTTTGGACTTCACTAATGAGATGTCAACAAGACTGTACTCCTTTTATTAGTACTCTACATCATCTGATTAGCTTCTTAGTTTTCAACAGTGCACTTAGTTTTCAACCTTACCTTACTGGTCAGTGTGAGATAATTGATAAGTGATATGCTTAGATGGAATCAATCCTTAGCTGCAACATCTCTGCTTGCCAAGTTAGATGAGCCAGTTTGATTCCTTTCAGTTAAGTTCCCCCTCCCCTGTCATTCACTGGAGGTGGCTAACAGAAATCCTCAATCATGGATCCACTTGCTACCATTTAGTCCAATTATGAAGAGCCTATTGTCCTACTTGGTCATTTCTTTTTCCATTTACACACCAGTCTACTTGAACCAGGTCATTTTGTTGCATTCTGGTGATGGTTTCTAATATCATACTTCTAAGAGGATTTATCATTTACTCTATCATCCCAGCACTTTGTAGAGCCACCTACATACTGGAAAAATGCCTCAAAGTTTCTTGAAAATAGAAAAAAAAAAAATCTTGTAATGATATCAGAAATTTCTATGATTTAACTTCCTTGTTTTCAATGTAATTTATCATTCTCCCACACTTCTAAACCCAGCAACACTCAAGCGCCATATTCCAATTGCTCCGAGTCCTTATTTATTAGTCCAACATTCAACAAATGTCTCTTGACACTTGCAGCAGGCAGGATATTTTCATTAATGAATATATTGTCAATATTCACTAATGTTGCACTTTAATGGACTCATCTTGCAACAACACAGTACTCGGCACTGACTACATGATCAATGGTGCAACATTGAGATCTTGATCTTAACCTTGTAAGGCAATACCTCCTCCCTTTTAAACATAACTGTCTGAAATGACCACAATGACACATGAACATGCACTTGCAGGTATGCTTTCCTGAGGTCGATGGAGGATATATTTTTACCTTGCTGTTGCCATTACATCAACTTGTTTGCACAGACGTCTGCATTGGCCATGGACATGTCAACTTACCCATTCAGCTCTCCGTAGTCCATTACAAGGAATGCTTTTGCCTGGTTCTCCTGCATGCCTGTCATCGGATGAATCGAGCCCTTTGGAGTTCAAAATTTCTTCTTGTAGCAAGGTAATAACCAGCCCTTGTCAATCCACACATGAATCTTATTCATATTCTTCCTTAACTTGTGTGAACATGGGATACTCCAAGACCTTATTTTCTAGCTTCTTAGTCCCCCAATTATCTGACCATTTTTATGCTGCAATCCAGATTTTTGTTTGTCATCAAAATTTACAGCGAAATTGGGATCATCAATCCAAATGGTTGCACACAGGTAATTTAGTAAAATGCATTGTACTTGATTGATTCATCAGGATACCATTCAACACCCTAATGGCATTAATTCTGAGGAGGAGGTCAAATCCTAATGGTTTTTCATCTTCTACCAAAACTTCAACTGTAGCTGAATCCAAATTGCATGCACCAAAGTTGATACTTCTGATTCTACAGCACTAATGAATTTTCCAATTGAGCCAGCATGTCTGCTCCATTGCTGACAAACATACCAAATATTGAGCAGGAACTGCCATGATACATCAAAACAGTGTTCCATCAATCTGGGCCTCAATGTAGTGCTACACTTATGCTTTGTCTCAGGAGGAGACTGGTGCTAATATTTTTCCCTCATTCTGTTTCTGAAAAAAAAAAAAAAAATTGGCAAAATGTGAACTAATGCTTGATACATCTTTCCTTGATTCACATAAGTGACTTCTTGTTCCTCCTCAATGAAGCAAGCAATCTCTTGTCATATAATCAGGCCTTTGGCATGTGTAGCACATAAAACTCTGCTGTCTCTTGGTCTTCTGATTCCATACCATTTTTGTATACCTGTAATGTAGCTGCTGCTGTTAGACTGAATACTCCTCCTGTTTCATCTTTCGATATATTGCCCAGGCTTGGTCCAGCCATTGTTCACCATTCATAGAATCCATTTATGAAGAGGCATGAAGAAGTTGCTTCACATGTTCAGCTGACAAAAATTCACAGGTCAAGCAGTGGTCATATGCACTGCCAAACAACACTGACAGATCTGCATGATTTTTGACGAAAGCACATCCAAAGATTCATCTGGGCATATTCACCTCATAATACATTGCTCATAGGCTATGAACAATTGTTATTGCTACATCCACTGCTTCTTTTATTGTTGCAATGTCTGTCTTTGGCTCGCTTAACTGTTGGTATACAGTAAAAGCTCCACTGGATAAATGAAGTGGAAATGACTTCCTCACTTTTCTTAAGCACCAGTTCAACTTTTTTTTCCCCCCATTTTCTTTTATGCTATTTTTGCACTAGCACCATCAAATTTTTCTATTAGTTTTAAATCAAAAGTTATCTTAAATTGTGTAGGTGGTTCAAAAATAGGTTATTTATTTATTTTTTTACAAGTGAAATTCTGTGAAATGTAAAAAGGATAAAAATCTAGCCAGAACTTCTACAAAGCAATCAAGTATGGAAGTGTAATGCTGATAAAGAAGCACTGAAGAAGCACAAGTGACACCTCACAGCTGTTTCCCTTCAGTTAGATATCAAGAGTGGCCATTGCGCTTCATCACTTTATCTTTTCTTTCTTCTTGACAGACACTACGGCATTGTCAACACAATTTCCTTACATTCTATTCTGATTGACCCTTTCACTGTTTCATTATACACAGCTGACATTTGCTAAGTGCCACATTATTTGTTGCCCCACCTGTAATGGTTATTTTCCAAATTAACCTGTAATAATATGGGAAGCTTGTAAATGTTTAGGTTTTAGTGGCTTTGACCATGTAAGCAGAAGTAAATAGCTGCAGGATTGATGTTCGCTTACCTGAACAGACACTCAATTAATAGGGGTAACTGGCAGCTCAATTAATAGGGGTAACTGGCAGCTTTTAGATGATATAAGTAATGATATGATATGATTATTTCCTTATAAAGAAACATTTGCTATTCATTGACAGAAGTGTTTGCATTACTGTCAATTGAAATTTTTAAAATCTCAGAAAAATAGGCTTCTCAAGTTCACTGTTATTTCTCTCTTCAGTATTGATGGCGGTTGTCTTTTTAACCTTTTGTTTGAAGTAATGTGGAATGTCAACATCTTGATTATATCATTATTTTCTGTTTGAGTTTAACAAGACTCAGAATAGGTCATACCAACATCGCACATTCATTCCTTCTAAAAGATGAGGATCCACCTAAGTGCATCGTATGCCAGGAGACATACACAGTAAAACATTTTATGATGGACTGTGCTGAATTTGTTTCTATCTGTAAACACCTTTATAAGGTGAATAGCCTTATGGAACTTTTCAAATGTGTTAATGTAAAAACCATTTTGACCTACTTGAGGAAAACTAGATTATGCAACAAACTTTAGCCCAGACGAACTATACGAGTTTTCAACTACACGAATTATAAAACCTAAAATGTCCTAAAATATTATTGAATAAAAATCTGATTTTCAGCATTAATCCACGAGGGTTGATAAACTGGTAAACCAAACCAAACCCTTCTAGTTACATGTGCTATCCATTTTAGTTGTTGCTGGAGTTGCAACTTTCCAAGTGAGGGTTTTATTATTTGTTAAATTTCTTTGTGATTCAGTAGCATCAGTCTGAGATCTGATGAAAAAGTATTGTCTTCTTTAAGACCTAGAGGATTCATTCACTTGAAGCCATTTTTAATCATTGATCTCAGAAAACATTTGTATCATTCATTTATGCGTTGAATATTGCTACCACATATAGTCTGGTGCTCCTGCTATATATTTAGAGATCCTTTATAAAATCCAAAGAAGAATCTGTAATGTCATTGGTTTTAACCTGGCATCTCAGCCCCAGTCACTTTCCAACTGTTATAATGTAGCTTCCTTGTGCTCATTCTATAAATACTTTCATGGTAATTGTTCTGATGAACTTTCCTCTATGGTATATAGACTTTATGAATTTAATTGCAGTGCTAGATTGGCAGAAAGGTCTCGTCCTTTGAACAACAGTTTCTTCTCTCGCACTTCTTGCTTGTGGTACTTCTCTTCTGGCTTCTTATTTTCCAGTCAACTTTGATCTTCAAAAATTTAAATGCAATGACAATCATTATCTACTTAATTCTTGTTCTGTTATTGTTCTTGCTCATTCATAATGTTTTTTTTTTCTTTTCTTAGATTCTTTTATACTCAGTAATGCCTATGCCTTGTGGCTTTCTTGCTTTGTTTGGGTTAAAATGATTAAGAAAAAAACTTGTTCTCCATTTCTGATTGAATTTGATGCCATATATCAGATCCATATGACATTTAAGTGTATGACTCAAGTTCTTAGGTTAATATTTTGGTTTTGCTGCATTTTGTGGTGTTGGACAAAACTACCCCAAGTACACCCTGTTAAGTTATATATATATATATATATATATATATATATATATATATATATATATATATAATGATCAACCTATTACTAGGAAATATTTGAGAGTTGTTGCTTTGGGTTTTAAAATACTTATGCAGTTTTACTTTCAACTACTTGGCAGAATCATTCAGTTAATAAAAAAAAATAAAAAATATTTCATATTTTTTTAATAAAACATTTGATTTTTATTTAATCTTTTCTAAATTTTCTAGGATAATCTTGGATTGTATATATTCATTAGCAATACTTTTTATCTGTTGGTGCAACGCTTCAGTGCTAATAAACCGGCAGATTCAGTTAAAAAAATTTATAGTTCATGCCTTTTCTTTTAGAATGACATCATTAGCGACATATTCTTACACAGAAGCACTAAAATGTGAAATAGAATCTGTGGATTTTAATTTGCAATAAGTGAAAATGTCGGCTTTTAAAAACTTGCAAATATTAAGGAAAAATTTTGCTGCCAATAATTTTAAATTTTATTTGTTCAATTTTTAAAGTTTTCTGTTTTTTGTACGAAGTTTTGTAATGGCCTGTTTTTATTTTTATAGAAGTGTATAATTCCACTTATATTTTGCTTAGCATTATTATTTTTATTCATTGCAGGTGGTGTCACATGCCATTCTTTAAGAACACTGTTATAGGTTGCTTTGTTCGGATTGGAATTGGGAATCATGAAGGCCGACCAGTCTATAGAGTAAGATTTCTCTTTTTTTGCTAGTGGTTATGTAAAAAAAAATTAAAAAGAATTAGCAAGCAGAGGAAAAGAACATGTTGCTCTGTAGTTTAAAATTTTTAAAAAAAGCAGACATGGGCAGTCTTGTTTGCAGTAAAATCCATTTGTTAAAAGTATCATGCTGAAACTATTACTGGTATATATACACACACACACACGTGAATGGTGAATGATTTTTATCTCAGTCTTAAGTGTTTGTGCTTTTATGACCAGTGATGAAGTCTGTGAAATAAAGTCTTCAAATCAGCCACCCACTTGATCAAAACGGAATAAAATAATAAAAAAAACTTTTGGGGTCAGGTGACAACAAACTGGCTATTGGAGGTTTCCAGTTGCAGGGTAGAAACTAGAGTCCAATAACATTCAGATCCAGTAAGCATTCCCTCTGTTTACAAAGGGAAGGCCCACGGGATCTGATATACAAGGACTCTAGAACCTTGAGGTGAAATGTGGAGGGGGACCTAGATAAAATCAAAAAATGGTCCGCACTAAAATTAACCACACATTTCCTGTACTTGACTTTTTCTAGCTATTAATATAAAGAATGCAATGGTTAATAAAAGAACAGTCTTGTTTATGTGTAAACTGTTTACTATTAGATCTGTTTTGTAAGGAAATGATGCTTGAACCCTGTCAGAGAGTGGGTCAGTAAATCTGTAACCTGACATGTAGTTATTGGTTGAATTTTGATTTGAAATATTCAAAGTGTTATCTATGGAAAAGCATTTGGTGAACTGTGCAAAATAATTTTTTCATTATGCTCTGGATTTATTAATGAACATTTGTAAATATGGATATATCAAAAGAAAGAACTTCAAGCAAAGTTAAGTGACTTCTTTGTTTCAGAGTTCTAAGAACATAAAATGTAAATGTTTGCAATAAAGGAAATGGTCAATGAGCCAAATTTGAAAATTGCTCTGTAGAAGTCATAAAAGTGGTCAGGGTGTAAAATGCTGTTGGTTTATATATTTTTTTGTTTAAAAGAAAGGGAAGTATTTTAAATGTGGAAAGGGAAAATTCTGTATAACTTGTTTGAATTGAGGGTAAAAAACAATATATTTCTTTCATTTCAGGTAGCAGAGATTATTGAAGTTGTAGAAACTGCCAAAATTTACCAACTTGGTTCAACAAAGACAAATAAAGGCATTCGTCTACGGCAAGTAGAAAAGAAGACATTATTTTGAATATTTTAGGTTTTGCTCACAAGCTAATAGTGAAAACAAGCTTAGTGGTGTTTAACCTTGATTATTTTTTTTTCAATAATTTTTATCAAAATTAATAAATACTCAATTATGATAAAATATTGCCAAATTTAAATAACTTAAAATGTAATACATTCTCTAACTGTTAGTTCTAGGAGAAAGTTGTTTAAAAACTGCTGTTCAGTCAGTTATGTGCTATGCATAATACACACTTAGGCGATCATGTATCTTTTGATACGTGACTGATGAGGCAGATTTTTTTTTTTTTTTTTTTTTCTCACTGTAGGTTGCCATTTTTTTCTCTGGTAGACCAGTTGTCATTCGGTCTGTTCTGCTATTTATCCATAGCTGGGGGGAGAAGAGGATTAATACCTTTCCCAAGAGTATTAGCACATAAGTGAAAGTAATGGATTTGACTGGAATTTGAACTTGGCTCTCTGATTCCTCAATCTGAGCCGCTACCCATTACTCCACCGTGCCTCAAGATATACATTAGTTAGTTATTAGAATTTTGAATTACTATTCCTTCTGTGCCTAAATGTGATACTAATATCTACGTTTTTAGTACATTCGGTTGTGTGTGGGGGTTGCATTTATTTATTTATTTTTTGTTTGCTTGTTTTTTATGAAAGATATTTGTCTTGGGTAAAAATGGGTCTTCTCAGAAGTTCTGATTGATCTTAGCAAATTTTATATTTTTTCCTTTTTATTTATCGACTTTTTGTTTTTCAATTTTTTATGTTAACTTTTTTTTTTTTTTTTTTTTTTTTTTGGCATGGTAATGCGGAACGAGTTTATCGGTTAGAATTTGTTTCCAATCAAGATTTTACTGAGTCTGAGTTTTTTAAATGGAAAGAGACAGTGATGCGTGCAGGAATGACATTACCTACACGAGACGAAGTAGACAAGAAAGCCGTTGACATAAATAATGCTATCAATTACAAATTCAAAGATGGTGACATTGAGGAGGTAAGTTATGAATTTTATATTTTTAGCCGCTTGGCAAGGTTTCTGTTATAACTATTTGGTTTTATCAATTTAAAAAAAAAAAAAATGGAAACAAATGTTCAATGTTTGATTCTGTTTAGTATCACTAGGAAGCTTATTTTATGTAGATTAACATACCAAAGTTTTCCTTCCCTTTGTAGCATTTTGGGCAAAAACAGTTACATTTCCTTGTATTTATACTATATTTTTGTCTGAAGTGTTAATGTGCCAGCAAATATTACAGCATGCATACAAATCATCTTACATCATAGTACATGTGTTGTATAAAACTGTTTGATTTAAATGAAGCTTTTGATTTTATTCCATCATTTGATTTTTCGTGTATATATTGATTTTTAGTGATAAGTAATGAAATTTTAAAATATATAGATTATGAGAATAAAGAAAAACGTTAACAATGTGCAATTATGGCCAAAGTGTTGGGTGAATCTTCAAACAAAAATCTGCAAGAAGATAGCTGAAGTTTAAAGCTGAAAATATGTATGATGATGATGAGGAATTGAATCATGAGATTCAACTGAAACATAGTTGATATTTTTCAAGTTTGAAATGCTTATTAAGTTTTTCAAGTATCTTTTTAATCAAAGATGAATTCAAGTGTTTCTTTTAGTATTTTTGTTTATTTTTGTTTTAACATTTGAACAATATTGGATATTTGTAATATTTTTAATTTGATATGATTATCGATAACTTACAGACCAGATCTGTGTTTTGCTAGAATCTTCTGATGATATTTGAATAATACCTTTAGTGTTTCTCTATCTCAAAGATGCTGTGATTGAAATTTCAATTTCATAACGTAATTGTGATATTGGTACTTTCATTGACAGTCAGGTCTGTAAAATATACATTGATCATACTACCAAATCTCAAATAGTTTAGATTAATATTTAAAATATTTATTAGTTGATATTTTGCTCAGGTTTGAGTTTTAATTATTTTAATTATTTTGAGATATCAAAAGAAGTTTCTTGCAAGGTGGTGATTGTACTATTATAGGGTGGAAAAGTGATTAAGCTTCAAGAGAATACATTTTTTTCTCTCTTCTTCCCCCAAAGTTATTGTTTTCAGTGTATTAATCAACATAAAATAAACTTTTCAAGGATGCTTACTATAACATCAGAATTTATTCCAGGTTTACCTATCATACAGCTCTTATGCTTAGTTTACTTGTGTACATAAGAACAATAACACATATGTACTTGTAATAATATGCAAATATATTATTGCAAGCACCATCTTTTTCTTTTAGCACATTGCAAATTATTTCGTTCCTCATTTTGATAAATGTGAACCATTTCTTTACTAGGCTGGATATATTTTCAATATTTGAGTTAGATGTTATAATATATTTTTGAACTGAGAAACCAAGAAAATACTACTTCTTATTTAACATGTACTGTGCAAGGTTGTGTGTGTTTGTTTAATAAAAGCTACAGCTTCCTTAAAATCTTTTTGAAATTATTCACTATGTGAAATAATAGGAATCATTTTAATCTTTAATTTTCTCTTTTTTGATTGACTATAAATTTCTCAAGTCCTAGCATCTTCCACTTTCTTACATTTGTAGCTGAAGTAAATACTGCTTAGAGTATTTTTAATTCAAATAAATTGATTAACAACTTGCTTAATTCCATATTAGATGTTTGAAATATATTCTTTGTGGATTTTATTAAATGTGATCTTTTCTACTTGTAGATTGTTGCTGAAAAACAGAAATTTAGAAAAAACCCACACAATTATGCAATGAGAAAAACGCTTTTATTGAAACAGCGAGTAAGTTTTTACATTTCATGCCAGAATTTTTTTTTTTTTATAACTTTAAAAAAATCAACTAAAATTTCCGAAAAGGAGAAAAAATACAAATAGACCTCATTATTAAAGAGCGAAAATCAAGTGGAGTAATTTATACACTATCAAGGGAGATAATTAGAAAACATTAGACGGCTTCATTCATTAAACACAATACCAATACAGTCAAACAATTTTTCATAATAAAACAATATAGCATCTATAAACATAGCACAATTTTAACGATGAAATTGAATTAATAATTTTCGTCTTTATTTTTTCTCTAGGATCAGGCTGAAGTTGAAGGTCATAAAGAAAAAGCCAGAGAATTGAATCGGCAGCTAGAAGAACTTGAAGAACGTGCTGTAGAACTTGATCGTCGTCGGACAAGCAATATAAATTCTATCAGGTGAAAGGACTTTTCTTTTTTTTTCTTTGAAGATTTCACATGGCATAACACTAGAGAATTTATGAACAAAAACTCTTGGAATCCTAAGGAATTAATTGATTTTATTCTGATTGATTTTTTTTTTCCTATTAGCCGAGTTTGCTTGCTTTGCTTGGTTAGTGACATATCAACTAATGAGTCATTTAATGCTGAAATTTAATTTTCTTTGGGGTATTAGTAATTTCTTTTATAAAAATATATAGCTGGTAATATTTTTTTCCTTACAGATATGTATTGTTGGCAATTTTTATTTTATTTATTTTTTTTTATTTTAATTTTAATTTTTTTTTATTTTTTACAAAAATGTATTGCCGGTAATTTTTTTTTACTATGAAAAGTATTGCTTGTATTTTTACTATAAAATGCTTATACTTTCATTGTGCTTTAACCCCAGTTTGGAAGTTAACTATTTGACTACCCCAGGTTAGGGTGGACCTGGGAACAACATCAATTAAGAAGTAATTCCAAGCTCCTCAGAACTTCCTGATCAGTGTCTTTGCTGTCAGATGTTTGTCATGCCCAGGACAGCCTATTAGCCTAAACATTATTTTAGTGGAAACATATATTTGGGTAGACAGTCTTTTTTTTTTTGTCACCCTTTTTTTTTTTTTTTTTTGTCACCCTTTTTCTTTTTTCTTTTTTTTTTGTCACCCTTTTTCTTTTTTTTTTGTCACCCTTTTTTCTTTTTTTTTTGTCACCCTTTTTCTTTTTTCTTTTTTTTTTGTCACCCTTTTTCTTTTTTTTTTTGGTCACCCTTTTTCTTTTTTCTTTTTTTTTTTGTCACCCTTTTTCTTACTCTTTTCTTTTTTCCCTGTCTTTTCTTTTTTCCCTTTAATCTCATCTAATGGCCTGCACATTCATGAGACTTCAAGAACATATTTTCTTTATCAAATCTATTGGATGCACATGTTGGTAGTTGTAATTGACACTTCTTTTTTTCTTTACAAGCTGTTTATTTGTGTATCTAGTAAAATATCTGTCAAATGAGTTTTAACTGGGGAAATCAGTTAGAATGGCCATTCATCTAGATAGATTTACTTTGGAAGTAAGTTGTGATCCTACAGGAAGGATTTCACAGTAAATTCTGATAGTTGGGTTGCAGAATAAAGCAACAATTCCAATTGTATTTTCTATTTAATGAAGGATCCATTTTCCTCCCTTATCTCTGTTGTGGAAATGGAAACACATTGCATGTTTAAATATATGATTTACGATTATTTATCTATTTATTTATTTTTGCCTAAAATTTCATTCACCAATTTTTTTTACATTGAACCTATATGTGCTTTATTGAAAATCAGGAGTTGGGGGATTGTCAGTGCTGAGGAATTAATGCAAACATTGCAGGTAGGGTCTGGCTAATTGTATATTTGAAGAATGGCATGTTCTCATTGGAATTGTTTATTTTTTAAAATTAACTTTTCTCAGTTTGTACTTAAAATGATGAAGAGAAAAATGACAATTCCTATGCTAAATTGTCTCTCATTTTATTTGAAAATGATTTAAATGCCTTGAATATGATGACCATAGTTATTCAACCTTGAGTTATGTATTCATCCAGGATTGTCTGACTGTTCATACAATATCTCCAAGAGTTCTCAATGAATTTCGATATTTTGTGGAAGGATAGACCAGGAAGCATACAATTCTGAAATCTCCAAAAAGAAAAAAGGAACACAGTTACCTCCCCTGCACCGTATCTATCTATCTATCTATCTATGAACTGATTTTTAGTTAGTTTTTAATAATCACAGTGGCATTGACAGAATTATGTTTTTATTTCTTCTTTTTTTAACTTTCAATAACTTTATCTTACATTTGATTTCAGCTACATCAACCAGCGTAACAGAGAACGAAATCTGATTGAAGCTGAAAAAGCTGCAATTGTTGAAGGTGAGGCAGCTCGGAAAGCTGCTGCTGACCCTTTTACACGACGAGCTTGCCGCCCAAGTCTTGTAACCAAAGTAAGTCAATATAAAAATAATGGAGGGTCTGTATCTATTTATTGCATTTGACTTTTTATCACTTTATCACAGTCTCATTTTTATTGTTTTCTCTGCTATCTTGCACACTTAATGTCTTTCTTAATTGATGTTTTTTTTGTTTTTGCTTTTTTACAGTAATCTAACATGAAAAGAAAAATATTATTCCACAGCTTAAATGCTTCTTTCATTTCTCTTCACATCATCATAACTACAAGTTTCTATCAACTAGTACACACAAAAAATGCTAACATTTCTCTCACACTTTGTTTTTTTTTTAATCCATCAAAAGATTTTCACTTTTGATACCTTAGCTCCATGCTTAATGATAAAGGATATTTATTGTCTGACAAGGCTCACACCTGCATCATTTATGACAAAAAGGTGTATTTAACAAGTTCTAAGTAATTGGTTGGTTAAATTCTTTGACTGGGACTCTCTGGCTTAGTTGAAATTGGCTACTAGATTATTATTGTTATATAAACTGTTATATGGTTATGCTTAAAATATTATCTTTGGTAATTTTATTGCTTTAATAAGAGAACATTTCTATTTTGGTCTTGAGTTTGAAAATTCTTTGCATTTTATGCAAAAACAGTGGCTCTGATTACTATCTGTTTAAAATGCAATCAGGTTGATTATGATCACATAAGGCATAGTAATTTTTGTGCTAAAGGTTGATCATAAAATTTTGTTGTCAATTTGGGTGTGTCATGGTTCAGTGAGTGGGACTAATGACAACGTGTTAAGTAGTTCAAGTGTCAGGAATTCTATTTTAATGGACCTTTTTAGTTTTAGTGTTTCCTATGTTGGAATGTAAAGGATAATGTGAGACATATTTTGTAATTATGAAAAAAATGCTTAAGTTTTGGGCAGTTGGTTCATTGAAAGTAAAAAATGAATCATAAATTTTCTTTATCCTAATGACAACCATAAAATTTGATTATAATTTTTTTTCAGATAATATTCATTTGAAAGTTGTACAAATACAGTATGATTTCTCTGAATTTATTTAACATTATACAAGCGTTATATTATTCTAATGTTTTTGGAATCATTTTTAATGTCTTTAAATTGTTTGTGAGACAAGATTCTTAGTTGATCAATTGACAATGTGTGCTGACAGTGTTTGAATACATGGAAATTTACCAACTATTAATTGTTTTTTTTTTTTTTTATTATTTTTATTTATTTATTTAATTTTTGTGTGGGGATGCAGATATTAATTTCCAGAATATAATTTTTCTTTTAATTTAATTCCTACCTATATATTGCATCACAGAATTCTGGGTAATGGATTTTAGTTGATTGGTGATTAAGTACTTTTCTTCATAAGAATATAAGCTTGTTAGTGAAGTACAAATAAATAGACTTAGTTACAATAAAGTGACATAACAATCTAAATATCTTTTTTTGTATAATCCTATTTGTAGAGATTATTTCAAGTTGATTAAACAAAGTTAAACATTGAAGAATTTTTCAGAACAAGTTTAGTTAAATTCCTCACTTGGTTAGACTTTGAGGAAAGGTACAAGCTGAAAGCAAAACTGGGTTTGGGAAAGTCTAAAAAGTAGATAATAATGGTCCAAAAAGCTGCCACACAAATTTTGGTCATTTGGTCATCCTTCAGATGATATTTAAAAGAACAGTTGATAATTAGGAAAACCCCAAAATATAATTTTCTTTGACACCCCCTCCCTCTTTTTTTTTTTTTTTTCTCTCCCCAATATGTCTTTTTAACTTTTTCAGTCTGAGGAGAGACGTAAAAGAAAAATTCTTCTCTTTCAGAGATTGGTTTCACTAGTTGTTTTATTTGTAAATTATTTTTGATTTATTTATTTTCTTTTAATATCTGTGTATGTGTGTGTAATCTGTATACATCTTGTGCTTCCAGGTAAGAGACCCTGAAGTAAATGATTTGCTGAAGGCAAAATTGGCTGAAGAACAAAAAAAGCTAGAGGCTAAACTGAAGAAAGTAAGTCAATATTTTTCTTTACCTTGTTTTTGTTGTTTTTGTCCAACCCATGTCCTGATGTACCGGGCTCTTAATAAAATGCTTTTATAACCATTAGTGTAAGAAGATATGTCAGTTTTATATAAACATTGTTGATATTTTACATATGAGAAAATAATATAAATTTTGGTAATATTCAAAATTTGCTGAAAAACGTTTTTTAAGTTGGGGGTGGAGGTGAGTTATTAAAAAATAAATAAACAAAAAAAAAAAATAAATGAGATTCTTACTTGAACCTCCACTCTGTGGTTTTTTAAAAGAAAATATTTTTAAAGTTTAAAAAAAGGAATTGCTCTGTTGAGAAATGCATGAAATAATAAATTAAAATATTTGGAAACCTGAACATATGCTTACTGTTATTTTTATGAAGTCTGATTCTTATGGTTGATTTATTTACTTATATTTAAAACTTTTTCCTTTTGTAGGTTGAAGGCGAAGCTAATGGAGATGCTGCAGCTGCAGGAGGACAACCAGCAGTAAATATCTCCATGCTATTTATGTCTCTCTCTGTCCTTCTGTCTGTCTCTCTGTCTCTCTCAGTCTCTCTGTCTAGTTATTGTATTTTGTGGGGAGCGCTTCATAAATGTTACTTTTCCTAAGTGCCAGCCAACATTTTTTTTCTGCTACATCAAATAAAGCCAGTTTACTCCTGTTGTATAGATTTTATTAAATATTTTAGTGTTGGTAAATTATTCTGTTTAAATAATACATATTTGATTTTTTTTCTTTTTTCTTTCCATTTTTCTTTTTTTTTTCCATTTCTTTTCTCTTCTTTTTTTCCATTTCTCTTCTTTTTTTTCCATTTCCTTTTCTTTCCTTTCCTTTCCATTTCCTTTTCTTTCCTTTCCTTTCCATTTCCTTTTCTTTCCTTTCCTTTCCATTTCCTTTTCTTTCCTTTCCATTTCCTTTTCTTTCCTTTCCATTTCCTTTTCTTTCCTTTTTCCATTTCCCTTTCCATTTCTTTTTCCTTTTCCATTTCTTTTCTTTTCCTTTCCATTTCCTTTTCTTTTTTTCATTTCCATTTTTTCCTTTCCTTTTCTTTTCTTTCCATTTCTTTCCTTTCCATTTTTTTTTCTTTCCATTTTCTTTTTTTTTCCATTTTCTTTCCTTTCCATTTTCTTTCCTTTCCATTTTCTTTCCTTTCCATTTCCTTTTCTTTCCTTTCCATTTTCTTTCCTTTCCATTTTCTTTCCTTTCCATTTTCTTTCCTTTCCATTTTCTTTCCTTTCCATTTTCTTTCCTTTCCATTTTCTTTCCTTTCCATTTTTCTTTCCTTTCCATTTTCTTTCCTTTCCATTTTCTTTCCTTTCCATTTTTTCCTTTCCTTTCCTTTCCTTTTTTCCTTTCCTTTCCTTTCCCTTTCCTTTTCTTTTCCATTTCCTTTCCTTTCCATTTCCTTTCCTTTCCATTTCCTTTCCCTTTCCTTTCCATTTCCTTTCTTTCCTTTCCTTTCCATTTCCTTTTCTTTCCTTTCCTTTCCATTTCCTTTTCTTTCCATTTTCTTTCTTCATTTTCATTTCCCTTTTTCTATCCTTTAGATATTCACTCTGATTTTTGCTTGAAACCATACATTTACTATTATGTTTAAAATGAAAACATTTTTTTGATAAAGATATTAATATTTTGGCTTTCAAATACAATTACTATATTATTAACTAAAAGACAAGTTTCTCCTTTAAAATCTTATAACACTTTTTCTTCCAGTGCTGTTTGTTGACTTCTTTTTATAAGTAAGGAAACCTTTTTTTTTTTTTTTTTTTTAAGCCTCAAAGTCAGAGTCAGAGTCAAAGCCAAAATCAAAATGAAAAGACGGATGCTAAAGTGTCTAATGAACGACGTAATTCTGAAGACTTGTATGCTGTACATGACTTCGATATCAAAATAGATCTGGAAGTACCGATGTCAGGTATGTTACTATTTTTGTTTATAAACACAATCTTTCTTTCTCACTCCTGATCTCTGTGTCTATTTAAATTTTATTGCATCTAGCATGTTAAAAAAAAAAAAAAAATGAAGAGTAGGTTGGTAGTTATTTTAATGTAATATTATTTTATAAACATAATTATATTTCAATAAAATGTGGTGTACATAAGGACTGAATAAAATGGTTTATGGAAATGACTTCTGAAATTAATTTTTTTTTTTTTTTTTTTTTTTTTTAAGTAGCTTCTCTTATATTTTCCCTCCTTCCCTGATGATTGCCAATATTTGTTAACAACAATTCTTTGTTCCAATATTAATTGACATACAGCATCTGTGATAATTTATCATCTGGAAAATAAAATGAAAAAAATGGCTAAGTTTAACCTTTGTACCTACAATAAAATGGTGTGTGAAAAGGATGTTTTTTTCCTTGACACTACTATTATTTTGTACTACCTTCACTCTCTTACCAATATTTGTTTTAAAAAGCAATAAGAATTTTAATAAAACCCAAACATATTTTAATAAATTTATACATTTTCTTTGTTCTTGAGAATTTGACAAAAATATGAAACACTATTTATTAGAATGTTTACAAGAATAATTTTATATTTACAACATTCTAAAAATGTGAACCAACTAATGCAATATTTATCATTTACCACTTTATAAAGAAATAAATTCAAAACAATTTTTTTATTCACAAATTTCTACAAATTTAACGAAATTACTAAATTATAAAAATGTGAACCAACTGGAATGAAAACATAGTTACCATTTTATAAAGTTCGAATCAATTGACAATTAGCCAATATTTTGCCAGTTTTTCCAAAGAACATAATTTGCCAGCTTTACCAGTTGCTTTTTAGTCAGTGTGGTTAGTGTTCACTGTTCATTTAAGATTCATTTAAGCACTACAAAAAAATAAACATATTAATTCAAACTTTCTAAAATGATAAATAATAAGGATTACCTAATATTTGGTTGACATATTTTAATAATTTAGTAAATGTTTATAAATTCATAAATAAGAAATTTTTTTTCATAATTATTTCTTTTATAAATTGGTAAGTGATAAACATTACATTGAATTAGTTTTGAGAATGCTGTAAATATAAAATTATTTGTGTAAATAAAGTCTAATAAATGAAGTGTTTAATATTTTTGTTGTGAATTCTCAAGAACAAAAGAAATGTATAAATTCACTTTCATATGTTTAGGTTTTATTACAATTCTAATCATCGCTTTTTAAAACAATGAACATTGCCGAGGAATGAAGGTAGTTAAAATAATAGCAGAGTCAAGAGAAAATCTGTCCTTTTGACACTACAATTTTTTTTTTTTTTGCTTTTTAATAATTCTTTTGATGCATAATAAACATTCATTTACATCTAAATCTTTTATTTGTATTTTCTTATTTTTAATAACTTGGTCCATTAAAAATGCTTGTGCATTTGCAAGGTTTCTGAAAAAATGTCTAATTTATTTATCTCCTTTGTACAGGGTCATCTATGGTGCCCTACAATCGAGCTGCCCAGCCTGTAAAGGAAGTGACACCCAGGAGATCATTAAATCTTGAAGATTATAAAAAGAGACGAGGCTTAATATAATACTGGAGGAAGATGACGAAGAAGTTGACTGGTTGTTGATTGCTGTTCCCTTTTGTGTAATATAAACTTCCAACCTTTTGATAGATGTATTTTGGACTGAACATTTGTGTTGGAAATAACTACATTTTAAGAAAAATGAAATCAAAATACAACACCACAGACAAAAACATTGTATGTAGCAAATCATTCTAAACCCCGCCCCCTTCCTCCTCTTCCTCCTTTAATGTACAGTTCAAAGAAAAACAAAAAAAAAAAGAATTAACAAAAGCCATCATCCAATTTTTTTTTTTTTTTTGTGTATCACTGAAAATTAACAGCACTCCCCTACATTCACCATGACGTTTTGACCTTTGGACAATTCTTTTCTGCCTGCTTGACAGACTGACACCAGTTATCTCCCTTGTGTCGTTTTTATTGTTGACTGCAGCAGTGTAAAGAAAAGATGAGAGAAAGAAAGAAAAGAAACAAATCAAACTTCTCTCTCATTCTAATCATAATTTGAGGTTTTATCATCAGATTCTTAATTAAATGAAAATATTTCTACTTTTCTTGTTGTAGAATTTTTTGTCTTTGATTATGTGGATTCTTGAATTTTTTTTTTATATTAGGAATGATATTTCTGAAATGGAATATTTCTATTGGACTTGGATCAAAAGCATTATTTTTTTTTCTTTTTTATGAACAGCTTCTGTATAACATTTACAGTATCTTCTGATGATCCTCTGAAAACTTGAATGATAGCAGTTGAGTATGCTTCAGCATAGTATTTAAAAACCTCTGATGACTGTTTCAAGGAATAAGTCACCACTCCTAATATGATTAAACCAGTTTTGGACTATACAGCTAAATATTGTTTCATTTCATTCTACAAGCACCTTCAGTGTGTATGAGATAGTTTAAAAGAATGTTCTTGAAATTGGTGGTTATGAGATTTTTTTTGTGGGGGTGGGTTGATTATTCTTAAAATAGCATAACCACCTCAGAATTGTTAGAATCTCAATAATTCTATCTTCCATTATAACATATGAACCAAAATCTATAACTGAATAGTATTGATAATGTTATGTAATAATAATAGTGTTGTCAATAATATAGTGGAGTCATAGTCTGTATATTTGTACATGAAATAAGCTTGGGTGTAAAGGTCTGAAAAAGGAAATACACTCTAGTGGAGTTATGGATGGTCTTTAGATGTGTACATGAAATAAGTTTTGGAGTAAAGTTCTGTCTGAGGGGGCGGGTGTTGATATACACTCTTGTATAAGAAAATGAACTGAATTTTTACTTAACTGTAACTAAATTATTCGGAGGTACAAAAGCTGCTTACTGCTTGATTTATAAGGTAATTTTTTTTACTAAAATACTTATTCATTTTCTTATTTCATATTAACAACTGCAGAGGTATTTTTTAAATCTCATTTTAGCTTTTTAATATTATAAGCTGTTATAAAGGTTGTGCTTTAAAATGACAGTAAAAAAAAACTACATTAATACTTTTAAATTTTTGATGAATTGCTATATGAGGCACAAAATTAATTTTTTTTCCTTTCAAGTTTTATTTAGATATTTACACTAATTTTTTCCCTCCTCAAAACAAAACCAGCTTTACAAATGCCTAAAGCAGGAAAAAAAACATTTTAGGAACAAAGTCTTAAAATACTATTTCATGAACATTTGAATTGGCCAAATTGTTGAACCTGGAGATTAAACTGTTTGCAAGATCAGGGCAATAACAACTGCACAATTTTGCTTGTGTTTATCTGTTTGAATCCATTGCAACCACAAAGTCATTGAGAAGAGATATTAATATAAAGTACAATGTCAGGTTGACATTATTTTTGTAGCAAGCAAAAGACATAATTTGATTATAACATATATAATCATTTCACAGCATTGGAGGTCGCAAGATGTCTCTTGACTGGAACTAGTTTGGAAGTTAGAGATACTTGGGATTTTCTCTCTTATGATAGAATTTTATATCTGTACAAATATAAATTTTTCTAATTGTATGGATTCAATAGAATCAATTTACAGCAAATAATGTAACAGAGTAATGTTTTTTCAGTGTTTTCTGATTCCTGATGTCTAGAATGTATGGATATACAAACTTGTCATAATCAATGATCATGCAAAAAAAAAAAAAATTTGGTGGGGAGGATTCTCTTGTCCTAGAATGGTTGAAATCAGATTTTATGATATTGCGCTGATAGGGTATAAGAACACCAAGAGAGGGGTGGGGAGAGACGATTTGTACTTGAAATTTTCTTTTAAATTCACAATGGGGACAACATAAGTCCCAAGTTGTGTGTGTGTGTGTGGGGGTTTTTTTTTTTGTAATGATTTAACCCCAAGGAAAGCAAAAAAAGACACTAAGATGGAGGGAGTTACTGAGTGTGAAATACAAGAAAAAGTAAAACATTATTAAGGAGCAAGAACATGAAAATGGAAGATAATAATTGACATTGCATTTAAATTTTTCAAGATCAAAGTTGACTGGGAAACAAGATACTGGAAGAAAAAGGATAATTATTATTTAAAAAAAAACGTTTTTGTTTGTTCCCTTTGCTTTCCACATAGTTACAAACAATGTAAAAATAGATTAACCAACACTACATGAAAATCAACTATGTTAAAAGGTATGTTTCAGAAGTACATTATAATCATCCCTTTACAATCAACAAACTATTGAGTGAGAAGTTTGAGTAAAGAAACTGTTAGCATAGAATTTATGGTTACATCCAGATATTTCAACTGTAAAATGATGGGACTTTGTCATCAATTTAGTACTGTGCTTAAATTCAAAAAGTCTAGATACCATAGAGAACAATTACCATGAAAGTATTTATTTATCAAAACAATTACCATGAAAGTATTTATTTATCAAAACAATTACCATGAAAATATTTATTTATCAGAACAATTACCATGAAAATATTTATTTATTTATCAAAACAATTACCATGAAAGTATTTATTTATTTATTTATCAAAACAATTACCATGAAAGTATTTATTTATTTATTTATTTACCATTATTTATTTATTTATTTATCAAAACAATTACCATGAAAGTATTTATTTATTTATTTATCAAAACAATTACCATGAAAATATTTATTTATTTATCAAAACAATTACCATGAAAGTATTTATTTATTTATTTATCAAAACAATTACCATGAAAGTATTTATTTATTTATTTATCAAAACAATTACCATGAAAGTATTTATTTATTTATTTATCAAAACAATTACCATGAAAGTATTTATTTATTTATTTATCAAAACAATTACCATGAAAGTATTTATTTATTTATTTATCAAAACAATTACCATGAAAGTATTTATTTATTTATTTATCAAAACAATTACCATGAAAGTATTTATTTATTTATTTATCAAAACAATTACCATGAAAGTATTTATTTATTTATTTATCAAAACAATTACCATTATTTATTTATTTATTTATCAAAACAATTACCATGAAAGTATTTATTTATTTATTTATCAAAACAATTACCATAAAGTTTTATTTATTTATTTATCAAAACAATTACCATGAAAATATTTATTTATTTATTTATCAAAACAATTACCATGAAAGTATTTATTTATTTATTTATCAAAACAATTACCATGAAAATATTTATTTATTTATTTATTTATTTATCAAAACAATTACCATGAAAATATTTATAGAAAAAGCACAAGGAAGCTACATTACAGCAGTGGGAAAAATGACTAAAGCTGAGATGCCTGGTCAGGGTCAATGACATTGCAGATTCTTTGTATTTAAAAAATTGAAAATTTTTCTTTGCAGGAAAAGTCATAGTGACATCATTGTTGTGTTGTTTTTTTGTTTTTTGTTTTACCTATCAGAATTCATTTTCTTTAAATCTTTTAATCAGTTATATAATATAATTTTTTTTTTAATTTGTTGAAACCTTTTTAATAATTTAAAAAATTTGATTATAACTATTGTCATAGGAATAAAGTGTTGCTGCCAACACTTCGGTTTGAACACGTATTGCCAGAGAGCAAGCACAGTTGACCGTATCTTGAAATAATTAGATCATGTGACGGGTAAAGGAAAATATATATATATATATATATATATATATATATATATATATATATGGGATTAGCGGTGTCTGACCAAGTATTGTTTGAAGGCATTACTATTATTGTATCAGTGATTTACAAAGTCTCTCCTACAAGTGGTCATCACAAAAACGGCCGTAGCAGTTATTGTAAAGTTGTTTATTCAACTTGTGACCTGCCATAGTTTTCGTTCACTATAAAAGATTATAGGGATATTCACACAGCTAATACTAATAACATATATGGGATGTAAATAGATGCAAAAATGTCCTTTAATAAAATTAATATATGTAATCAGTAATGAGTGCCTCATTGCACTTTCTCAGTTTAATGTTTTCCATTGACATGATGTGAAAAGGTTGTATCGAATCAGCTGCTAGTTCTGATGCTAGGAATGTCACTAGACAGTTTGTCTTACATATTTATAAATCTATCATTTGTCCATACTTTGAATATTGCTGCCACATCTGGTCTGGTGCTCCTGCTATGTATTTCGAGGTTCTTGATTGATTGATTGGTTGGTTGTTTTGTTTTATGGCATATCAACTTCAGTGGGTCATTTAATGTCAACAAAATTTTTTGAAATAGATTCATAGTGATAGTTTGGTTAAAAAAAAAAAAAAAGGGTCTATATATATATATATATATATATATGAACCATTTTTCAATTAGTCATATTTTTGAGTATAATTTTAGGAAATTTACAATCTTGGATGGTTTTATTTTCGTAAAATGTTTTGTAACAGTTTTTTCTCTCACACTTCTGGCTTCTTGCTTTCCAGTAAACATTGCATGTAAGTTTTAGATGAACAATGTAAAGCATTATATTCTTAATTTCTGTTCTTTTATTGTTCTTTATCCTTAATAATGCTTTTCTTTTTCTCATTCTTTCACACA